TTATGTATGTTGTACATTGACGCTGGAGATACTTTTTACAAATCTTTATTATCTGTTAGTCTATTTGGAAGAGAACTGATACTCTTAATATTATAATAACTAGCTGGTACCCTCGACTTCGTTTGCGTGGAATTTGAAAACCGTTGCCTTAGTAGGTTCGATACCCGGACTGAGCAAAATTTTAAAGGGTTTTTCAGATAGGAAAAATACCCTAAGTTACTCCCTTATATAGACAGCTACCTGGTAGTAAAATAGTATCAAAATCGGTCCAGCCGTTTAGGAGATTACCCATAACAAACAGATAGACAGACAAATAATTTTTAAACTGGTTTTTAGGCATAGGTATCCTGCAAATAACCGTGTAAGCATGAAAAAAAACTTGTTATTTGTCTTCAATTTTATTTATTTGTTTAGATAATAATATTCTTCCACATGCACACAACGCCATCTAGTCCCAAGCTAAGCAGAGATTGTACTATGGGTACTAGACAACTAATATAAATACATATACCTATACTTTTTTGTAAATACATGATACATAGAAACAACCAGACCAAATCAAACATTAAATATTCATGCACACAAATGTTTGAATTGAGCGGGAATCGAACCTGCGATCTTTGGCGTAGCAGTCTGTTACACAAACCAATACACTTTTTATTACACTACACAATTTTATTGGTGTAAGTAAATAGACTTACCAATCGTAATTTCGATTCTTACAAAGTACGAGCATGCAAGTTGTACGCCGAACATTATAATCTCATCTTATAATATGTAAATTCTGGTACCTCATGAATAAGTAATTTATTTAAAACAATGTTTCGAAAAATTCGGGTATAAAACAAAGCTTTTATAAATTTTGGCCAATGACGGACAGTCTGACGGGTTTTTGATTATCATGTCTTTTATTATGAAAGATAGGGCTATATTATTTATCAAATAATATAGCCGCACAACCAATCTGTTAAACGAGTTATCGTCTGCGGTATTTCTGGACCGATACGACCTTCAAACCTTTAAGAAAAGAGGCCTTCCTAAAAGGCTGGCAACGCGTTTGTGACTCCTGAGAGAGACGTTCATGGGCGGCGATGGTCACTTTCTATCAGGTGACCCGTCTGCTCGCCCCTCTAACATAAAAAAAAATAGTTCCAGTACGTAGTTACTCTGTCACTTAACACTTAGGATATGAAAGAGATGATGGCAATGAAAACAATGTTATTCGCATCAACTGTTTCCAATGAGAGATAGTCGATTAGTAAATAATCGACCATAATTCGTGAAGTTTTGAATGTTAAGTTTTATTCATAGACTAAAATAACTTCAACTGTCATTGTATACACTTCTCGCACATGGCAGATCAGTCAGATAGTATAGACACAAACTGCTAGAGACTAAAGATAATCGGTTGACAATCGTTAAAGAAAATAATTCTTAGACTATTTTGATGATAAAACAGTTCAGAATTAATTTATCTAACGATTGTCAACCGATTTCTTAGGAAAGTATTGGAAGCAAGCAGCATAATAGGTTGATAAGCATAATCTATCGAGTATTAAATAATTAAATAAATAATTCGAGTTCTATCATCATCATCAACAGCCTATAATAGCCTACTGCTGGACTGGAACTCTCCTTAGAAAGCACGTTTAGGTCTATTATACCACGCTGGCCAGACGGGTCAGTATAGGATTTGCTTCAAGTTTTCTTTCTATTTGCAGAGTTCTATGGATTAGATAAATCTACAAGAGGATTTAAAGCTAGCCTAACTCTTAGTGGAAAAAGATAAATACCGCCAGAGGATGAAAAGCTGAGGAGCATTGCTTTTCCTGGTATTTACATGCGGAGATACGAGCAAGATCTGGTGAAGAAAGTATAAAACTTTACACACGTATGGAAGTTGACGAGTAGAAAAGACAAGAGGTAGAGGACGAGTGTCCAATGCCAGTATATTTAAACAAATCAATCAACGTTACTACTTATGTTGGAGTATAAGAGCGCCATCTAGTGTCAATCGCTATGCACTACTACAGATGTAAATGAATCAAAATGAACTTGAATAAAAAGGTTGGTACTCGCTCTGATCTTTTAAAGCCTCGCTACTTAAAACATTTAAAAAAAACTGCCATAAAAAGACTTAAGAAATTATATAATTACTGGCATTGTTACACACAGTTTCGCTGTTTCAATTACGGCAAGTACCAAACACCTTGAAACTTCGTGAACTTTAATACAAAAAATCAATAACACCTTTAACGTTGCTTATTAGTAACTTGAAACACCAGACTAGCTTGCTACATTATAGTAATCTGTAAACGTATCGAGTACCGGACCAACAAAATTGTCAAAGTAGTGAGGCCAATAGGTCAAGTAGGTAACCACAGATAAAAATAAATTGCTGCAGTTGAACTTTGTTAAAATTAATTACGATACGCCATGACACAGACAATTTACGCCTAAAGCTCTTAACATCATACATGCTTCCATTTTAGGAGAGCGAGGCGACCGGTTGTTCCTTATACGGTAAGTTTTTTGGCTTTCGAAAACATTTGCAAGATATCGCAGGCCCACATCGCACAAGACAAGCTTAATGAAGTAGGTACATACCTACCTACTTCACATACCAAAACGACACGATAGCCAACCCTTAAAAGTTTAAAACAATATTGATGTTACGAGAGCGGAGTAATACGTTTTCTGATGTCTTATCTTCGTCGCCATCTTTAATTTGTCGCCAAAAAGTTCGAAAATGTCTTGAACAGTGTATGTCCTCTCCGCTAGCGTAATTTTCGAATATCTACACAAATTATGCACAGGATTGAATCGCAACACCAATTCTTGTCAACGTAACCTGATTATCGTATCCTACATTTCAGTTTTATTCGACAGTGATTTTGATTTTGATTATACATATAATATAAGAAAACTTATTATAATAAATAAGTTCTTATCTGATTTCTTTCAGATCTTTTAAAACAATACTTAATAAATGATGTTTAAAAGGTGCGTTGCATCGGGAACATCATAAACCTACAAATGATTCAGAAGAAAAAGTAAAGAAAACAACATTTTTTTAATATTCCTAAATCTTCCAAGTGGCTCTTTAAAAATTTAAACTTTCCAAGGAGTCAGTTGTCGAGTGTTAAGTTGGGTATTTACGTATATCTACTCAACATAATATAACAGATTTAAATGATTGATTGATTTTCCTACATTCCCATCATTTTTATTGCTATAAATCTAAATTTATTTGATGATGATGATGTTGATGAACTGTGCAATTGCGAACGGAGCGTTTAGGCAAGATAGTGGACATCACTTTAAATTGGTAGAATAGGGAAGAACAGAAAGAAAGTAAACAAAACTTATTAGTCAACAACTATGACAACAAACACAAAATTGACTGCACGGATGGTGTAGTGGTTTAAGCGTAAGTCGCCACGCCGCCGCGCCGCTAACAACTACGCTGAGTGTTGTGGGTTCGATCCCCACATGGGACGACACTTTGTGAGATCTACAAATTGTTGTGCCGAGTATGGGTGTTCGTTGTGTCCGTTTCTTGTGTGTTTGTAAAGTCCCCCGCGACACGGGATATATTGCTAATGCATTTGTCTTTAAAAAAAAACACGAAAATAAGTCATTACTAGTGATTGTCGGTATCTACTCTAATTTCTGAAGAGGATATATTTATTGTTATAGTAGATAGGTAGTTAAAATCCCATTCTATACGATACAAAGTCATTTAAATCCCAAAGGTTGTCTTGCAACCGTTTAGTAAGGCAGAATTTACACTAGGAAGTGTTGTTTAAGAAAGTAGCTTCGGTTATGACTGAACTGTACGTTGACTGGTAGCAAACGCAAAATTAAGACTACCTACATAATAAAATAATATGTACGACGGATACTTTACTAAGTTTACTACTTCAAATTATTACATTCTCGATCGAATAAGTTATGTTTCGTGCATCCTACCTAACACACTCCGAGCCTTTTTTCCAAGTTAGGTTGGGGTCGTCTTTAAGTCTATTACGATACGACCGAATTCAGATATTTTAAATTTATGTTATGTAAGTAATATTCTTCCAATATCTAAAATAAATACCAAGTGCTGAACCGGTTTCTATGCAACGTCATCTGTAAACATTTGCTATTGAAAACATGACTGTCATTTCTAATATGTTAGGGTTGAGCAAGTCAAATAACGTCAATTTTATCGAATCGTCATGTTCTAAAATGTAGATAAATTTACATTTTAGAAAATGACGATTCGATTATTTTTATTAAACCACCAGAAGAAAATTGACTTACAAGTTTTTGTTAAACTTGACTATTTATTGTGTAATGTATCAGAATTGTATGTCGTACCAAAGAAATCCAAAGAGACCGTATATGAAAGAAGGAATGTATTTGGATCAGGATTTCAAGAACAAATTTCATCATAGGCATGTTTGTAAAGACAAAGTATAGGAGGATTTCAAGATCTCCATAGTTTTTCAAAATGTTACAATACATGTATGACGCGTACAAGACTTGTTCGTAATGTATATTGTGAATAAAATAACACACGTGAATCATTTCCGGCGTTAAGTATACATTAAGGTACACACAAACTTAAACCATTTATTTGTTAAATCATAATGTTAAGAAGTTTATGGAAGAAGACAAATAAACCGAGACGGCTGTTTAGAATTAATAATCATTGACGAGATATAAATATATTAATTCTATACTCAAAAATAAATAATTCTAAAATTTTGGCTATAGAGGTATAAATCGAAATAAATATCGATCATTTATCGTGATAGTTTGCGTTTTCGCTAAGCTATCACATGTCACTTTGTCACGTCATCTGACCTGAAGTTGAATGTGTTATTACTTGTGAAATACTCCTTAAATAATTAGAAACTTGAATTGAAACAATGAGGTGACGTGGATCTTACAAATAAGTAATTACTAATGCATTCCAATTTACACATTACATACATAAATACATTTTAAAAATGGCTGGTGTTCCTGTGAAATTCGGTTCGTTACTATCGTTCTGTATTGTGTTTTATGCTGTTTATATACGTAAAAATGATATTGGGGATGTTCGGCTTGCGCCGGTAAAGGATCATTTACTGTTTTTGGAGAAAGAAAACAGAGTTGGTACTGGCAATCTTCAGCCGAAAGTCGCGCTTGGTTATGGTGCATGTCATGACTTATTTGTGAATGCAACCTCTTTACTGGACCATAAGGAGCTAAAGGAAGCTCCTCAACACTTCAATGAGATCGCGAACAAAGAGGAATTCCTCAAAAGTTTTGCATATTTCTTCAAACATGGAGCGGCAGTCGAGTAAGTTATCTACTGTTTAAATAATTTAACTGATAAGGGATACTAGAATAACACGCAAAATGAGTTTTTAGAATGTTTTTAATTTCTTGTAACAAAAGGTCTCTGTATCTTTTTCTTAAAATTATGATTTAAAAACAATTTAGTACTAATTAGTTGTTTCAAAATTCCAGGCGTTTCATGTCCAACTCAAAATTGTATGATGACCTGATAGAACAAGCTTTAAAATTGCCTGACACTAGATGGGCTATTGGAGGCAATGCACCGTTGATGGCTAAGCGGTTCTTCATTGAGGGCTGGGAAGTTTTGCTAGCTGCAAAAATGAGCAATAAATTGAAAGAGTACATTCCAAAAGAAATTAAGATAGTTGGTGATGACGGGAGCGAAGAAGTGAAAGATGATATTCATATGATTCTAGAATATAAAGCTGATGAACAGTTTGGTCCGTTTAAAGCTCCACGGGCTAATAGATATATCATGCATAATGATGAAAATAATCCCTTACTTAGTTCCTTAGAAAAGTTTGGCGAATACTTGCCTCATTTCAGTCCTAACTTACTAGTCATTAGTGGACTCCAGATGATGGACAATTATCCCTTTAAGGCTGAGGATGGCAGAGGTATGTACTTATGGTTCTAATAGACACTTTTATCTCAATAGATAGAATAAGAATCATAGTAATAGGAAAACAATAAAAAACTCTTCAAATTTCTATTTATCCTTAAAGAGGGAAATAGAATGGATCTGAATATGTAAAATAATAGAAGATATAGTATAGCTACATATTTTTCAGTGTTCTATATTTAAAAATGTAAATACAACATATTGACATATTGACTGACCAACTAACAGGGTTGGTGGTCCAGCTCTAACCCGGAGGATGTAAGTTACGTTCCTACCTAGAGCAAATATTGTTTGATGAGCATGATCATTTGTTCTGTGTCCTGGGTGTAATTTATCTATATTATATATACTAAAAAATAATATCTTCGCACACCCTACACACGGCAGTCTGATCTCAAACTTGATTGTGATTTTGTCATAGACAAAGATAAATGCCATGAAAATCAATCAAATTCTATTTACACACTTTATATTAGCTTCACTTGTATGTTTGTAACCGACTCCTTTGGGCGTGATTTTGACTGACTTTAAACGGTCAGAATTCGTTCAAACTTTGTAGATATATCGAGGACCGATGATAATACACTAATTTAGAAATGAAAAAATTTTGTTTGGTTTTCTATAGAAAGGTTTTTAGTTTTTTAAAACTATAATTTTTTGTTAATTAAAGATTACAACCCTTTTTTTTAGATTTAGATCTTTCGCGAGTCTTTGTGTGTCTTTTCCAGAATAAAGTTTTAAAAATAAAAGCCAAGTTTGGTATCACAATACTGTGTAAAGTGTAAAATTGCACTAGATATTTATATCCTATATATTCTTTTACAGATTTGAGAGCTGAAAGGCTGGATCTAGTGAAGAAACAAATTCTTTCACAACCACAATCAACTTTAACTCATTTTGAGATGGCCAGTTATGTGGACTTAGAACTTCTAAAACATCTTACAAATAAAGTCCTACCATTTGTAGACTCTGTAGGAATGAATGAACAAGAATTGACTAATCTATATAGTGTCCTAGAGCACGGTCAAGTCAGTGTGGTAGCTGACTCCAACCCTAGAGTAGCAACAGCATTAGACCAGATGCGTGAAACGTTCTTACTCATAAGAAGCCAGAATAAACAATACAAAAGCACTAGACACTTGACACGCATACATGTGCATACTTTAGCATATCAAGCAATTTTGACAGTTAAAAAATCAAACTGGAAGAGAACTGAAGCCGCTGCAGCCAAAGCGTCAATAACAGCTCACAGATATGTCTGCAATAGCCAAGAAATTGACTTGAGCAAATGTAAACTCTTACTCGATGACAGTTTTTCTACAACCACAGTCAATGATAATAAAAGTAGGGTATTTTTTGAACCCTCCAAGCCTGTATCTTGCTGGGAAGAAGTATTAGGTGGTGAAAAAGTTGACATTTGTGTAGCACCAGTACTTATATGCACAGAAGCACAACTTACTGCAGGAGCAGGAGATAATATCTCTGCTGCTGGCTTGGTGTTACAAGTTGAAAAATGAAGTCAAGAATTTCATTATAATACTTTGTCATTCCATTTGAATGTTAATTCTGTGTGTTAGCTTATACCTGACCTTCCTAAGGTTTAACTACTTGCTAAATATAAATAGGTTGGTTAAAAATTTAAAAAACATCTTAGGCAGTTTATTTGGTGCCATTCTTTTAGAATGTTCTCAATTAGTTATTAAGTTCTCAATTGTTTAATAATTTCACTAAGATTATTTATTTATGAAACTATTGTCACGGTGCTGGTGGTGCCATGAAGAGGAGTCCAGCAATTATACATGTCATAACATTTTTTAAATTATTATTGTTTACATAATTTTATTTCCTATTATGTGTTAGAAGTACAAGAAAAATGAGGGCTTTATTATGAAGAATTTCAATGGTACAATTGTATTTAGTTTTGCCATTATTTTTCTTTTTAATCATATCACTTACAGGGTTAATTTATAAAAATGAACATTAATGAACAAAACTTTTGCATAGATGTTGAATTTTATAGCAATTTTATAGATTGCAAAACTAAATACAAAATAAATAATTAATTGTCTCAGAATGCGATAAAAACAAATATTTCTAGTAATAAATAATGTATTTTAACATTAAGAAAAATAATTGTGGTTATATTATTTTAACATTCCTATGATGGTGTACGGAAAGAATTTGCTGTTATAATTGTTGTTCAAATAAAGTCATTTTATATATAAATTTGTTTAATTTATAAAAGTGTATATACAGGTATTTACATAAGTTTGGATTACAAGCAATTTAAATAACTAAGCTACAATGCAAAAACAAATAAATGTTGGATATATATTTTTTAAATATTATTCTTAACATAACTAGTAACATGCATAAACAAAAATTTAAAACTAGTAGATTCTTCATATTATAATGTAATAATAATAATTGCAATACGATAATTTTGTACGAAATAGGTAGGTACATAACAAAATTTCAACAAAAGAGTGGATGCTATTTATTTATTATTTAATTTAAAAACGTAATTCGCTTTTAGTTATACTATGAACATCATTTGGCTAACAATTACAGAAAATTAAAACATGGACAAAATAATTTTGTTACAAGCAATTTAAATTTTAATCTTGTGAAATATTGTACTGTACTGCATAATTTTCAAATTGTCATAAAAAACCCATATGGTCTTAGTAAAAAAAAAAAATTTAATAAAAGGAACGCGCATGCATTGAGTCTTAACATTTTACAAATTTATTAAAGAATCTGTAAAAATGGAAATACACTTGTCAAATGCCTAATTAAAGTTATTACTCAATATGATGTGTAAATACATAACTATGCAACTGCATAAAATATGTGACTGTAATTTTAATATTCAACGAGTGTGTCTACTAGATAGGTGATGTAAAATTCCACTCGAACATTATCGCAGCACACTCGTTAACATTTTACATAACATTTAATATTTGATGTTCACACAGTCTTTACCAATATTCTTAATTTCAGTCTTATTAATTTTAAACTACAAAGTAACGTATATTACTCAGCGTTTTCAGGAAATTTTGTCTTTTTATTCTGCGGCTGTCCTGTGGCTCTATATGGGTCATATAGGCCACTTTTAATGAATCTTTTGGCGGCTTCTACGTCGACTGTTGGTCTTTTCTCGAGATCTTTAACTTCCTGCCACTTCATCATCACAAGTTTTATCCGTTGAAGCTCATCTTTGATAGGATGTTTCGTAGGATCCACTCCTTGTATTCGTAAATTTATCCACTGTAGAGAATTCAAGGTGAAGGCCAGGAACAAATCAAGCTCAATTTGCGCAGGCAACGTTAGCTTGTCATATTGCTCTTTAAGCGGCAATAATTGGTCTAATACTTGTTGTACTTCCTGCAAATTTTCCTTTAACGTCTCGCAATTGTTAACGAAATCTTTATCGTTAGACAGTTCGCCGTATTTAAGATCCCAATCCATTTTTACGTATGTTTAAATATGTTGGTTAAATTCTTCAAGATATATATTCAATTCACTGACTAGAAATGTACCACGTTTTGTGTAATCTAATGAAGCTTGACCCTGAAAATGAAATTGAAAAATGACTGATAATTCACATGTCAAATCAGTCGGACGGTTGACATTTTATGCCTAACCTAATAGAGTCAGTGATGCCAACAGTTCCATTCACTCTCCACCAGCTTCAACATCTATAACCACTAACGAAAAGCGGCCCTACTCATTAGAGTTGTGATGATGTTTTTATTTTTACGAAACGAGCAGACGGGTAACCGGATTTAAAGTGACTACCGTCGCCCATGAACACCTTTTGAGGAAGGAGTACGCTATTTCTTGAAGGTTGAATCGGTCCTAAAATACCACAGACGATAATTTGTTCAGATTGGTTGTGTGAGGCAAAAAGTGTCTTGAAACGCACACAGTGCCGTGTCAAACTATGGCGGAAGTTGCGGCTGTTTAAGTCCGAACAATTTATTTTTTTATTTATGATAGAGTAAAAGATGGGAAGATAGGAGATCGTTTGGCTATCGACGATTCTAGTAGCTCTTCATTTTATGCGATCCAGAGGGAAAAACTGATACTCGAGTGCCCCTGCATAGAGGTGAGAACAGTATTTGTTGGCCTTATGATGATAATTACCATCCTGGATTACGTTCTCGAAGTTATAGCCCAAATAATTGACTTCTCTCTCGATCACTTAGAAAATCCACTAGCCACTTAAACCAATATTTCACAACTAAAAGGCGGTTTTAGCAGAACGAAACCACCAGTTTTAGTGGAAAATCTACTAGGTTGGCAGCACTGAACGGAATATCTATGGAAATTTAACATCCTTGTTTTGTATATATCTATCCTGCTCGTGGGCATGAACCGGCATTTGTTGACACTTGACAGCTTTATGACATAGAGAAAATACAGATAGAGGGGAGAAGGTATTGGATTGTAAGTGGAATAGCGACGTTGGTAGAAAGAGAAAGAAGACGGGAAAGACATCGGGCCAACAAATCAGCGAAGAGGTGCGAGAGAGATGCATGTAAATCGCCGTCTTCTTTATCTTTCTATCAACTTCACCGGATCGTGGCTAGCTTCTCTCCTCTATCTATTTTATCTCTATGGGCTTAGAGTTTAAACCTATAGAAAGCGACAACGAGCTTATTTTAATTCCAAATATACAATTAACATTTGGCGATTAGTACCAATAATTAGAACCGTATATCAAAATACGTGTAAGTATTATATATGGATAAATTTACTTCAAAAAAGCTGAAAACTGAATTGTATTTTACTGTTTATTTCATGAACTCAAACTAATATTATCCAGCTGCTTTTCGAGTAAACTATCTCAATAGTATATTTTCAGATTTTTCCTCACATAGAGTAAAATAACTTATTGCGATAAAAAAAGAATTTATACCTGTAAATCATTGTAAGACTCTTTGGCGCAAAATGAATAATTAAGCTTAGTAAAGCGAGAAATAACTAAATTACGTTTCAAGTTTGTAACGATTTTAATATTTAGAATGTTTCAAAATCAGGGATTTATATTTAGTATCTGTTATAAGTTATCAGGAAACGATTACACCTGTAAGATTATATCACTGTGCCTAAGCAAAGTACGAGTAAATAAATATTTAACTTTACCCGCCAATCTCCAAATCCGATATACATTAGCTCCATCTAGCGGGCAAGGTGTGAGAAACGCATCGATATCTCTGCGTTTGGGTACGCTAATTTTAATCAACTTCAAACCTCAGTGGCGCATCTATCTTGGATTTGGTGTTTTATCTATGCTAAACATGCTGCCTATTTAGACTTGGCACGTGAAAAACTTGTCCGACTCAGTAATACGAATAGGTCGGTCAAGCTTTAGCTTGTAGGTAATAATTTAAAAAAAGAGGTCCTAGGCCCGAGGACTATCACTAGGTTGAGTATCTCTAAAAGGCAGGTGGCAAAGCCGTAAAAGGAAGCCACACCCTCTCTAGCTTAGTCAAGGACAACAATAAATTAAAAGTATATAGTAATTAAGTATAGTTTTTATTTCTGAAACACAATATTAATTTCCTGTTAGTTATCATGTACTTCAACATTGTAATCTAGTTAATATAGGGTGTTCAATACATAAAAATGATTCATTATGGGCCTATTACTATTTCAAGGATTATTTAAAACAGACTATATCAATCATCTAAGTACTCGAAAGGTTCTGGGGGCTCCGGTTCCTTTTCTTCCTCTGTTTTCGGTCCGAAAGCGGCAACAGGTTCCACCAAGACTTGCTCGGCATCTCCAGCGTGATGCAACATAACAATACCCCCAATGGTCAAGTCTTTCAACGGTGTAAATCCTGTTCCATCAACTGCTGTGATATTCTTCAACTGTTGCCTCATTACTCTTGCAGGGTTACTCAATATTTCGAAGGTAGGCTCAGGTTCTTTCTTTTCTTTAGTTTCTTTTTCTTCTGTGGCTCCTTCTTTTTCTTCTTTTTTGGCTTCCTTTGATGATCCAGAAGCAACAGCATCCTTGTCGGACTTTCCATGAACCGTAATATTCGGGTTCGGAGATTTCGAAGGTTTCTTCTCTTCTTCATCAACATCCATTTTAGAAGTTGAAGAAGATGTCATACTGCTTGCGGATCCTTCAGTTCCGTGCGCCCGCCTACGAGCCTTAGCTGCGGCAATACTGAGAACAGCAGTGGTGACTCTTTCCCTCTCCTCACGTTTCTTTTCTTCGAGTGGTGCAGGGTATGCGTAAAGGGAGGGTTTTGAATTTGATTTGAACTCTAACTGAGGCATCATCAATTCGGAATTAAGTGCAATTAGACACGTGGGAGTAAAAGCCAAAGAGAGACAATGAGCCAAAGGAAACCAGTACCAGTATTGGGTAAATACTAGCATGCCTACCACAGCCAGCATATTCATGTGACCGGTTCTGTTTTGTAGAGAAACAGTGACATTACGACCACCTGCGTCGATGATACCTTGAGCCAAGATAGCGCCGAATTTAGCCATTACATCTTCGTGTTTGTTTGAGATAACTTGTGCATATAGTTGACGGAAATATGTAACTTTAGGACACAGTACTTCAGTTTGTTGAATCAGGATCATGGCTGATGCAATCAAGGCTCCTTGCCTTACGAAGTTGACAGGATCAAACTTAACCATAGGTTCGAGTAGACCAATAGCTTCACGGTTGCCAGTCCCAGCACAAGCAATACCAAGGGCCATGGCTGCACCATAACGGACATGAGGATTATATGATTCAGCTAACAAAGAAACAACAGAAGGACATTGTTCCGGTGTCCTGAATAACAAAAATCCAAGAGCTGTTACAGCAGCACGACGAACATCGTCATTTACGTCGGAAACAGCAACGTGTAGAAGAGTTCGGATGGAATCATTGTTGCCAGTGCCACAATAGGCAGTTGCAATAGTGTAACAGCCAGCACGACGCAATAGAGGATCTTTATCTCTTAATAATTGTTGTACAAGGGCATCAGCTTCTTCAAGACGCCCATACATTGTAAATGCAATACCAACTGCCAAACCTCTCAAGATCTTCTCATGTTGAGTTTCTTGGGCATAAGCAACCATATCTTCAATAGCAGCTGCATGCCTGGACCCCAACATAACCATACCCATAGCAATACCAGCAGCTTCACCTGTTACAGCATCATCCTGGTAGAGGTTAAACTTGAGTTGTTCATAGACATCTTGTCTGTGGGTTCCCATAGCAGCTAAACCAAGTCCAAGACAACCTCCATGGCGCACCATTTCATTTTGTGCATCTTTTAGTTGCGTTAAAAGATAGTCAATGATATTTGCACCATGATTGGCATGGATCAAACCTAAGGCATATAGGCCTCCACCCTCTGAATATCCGGATGAAGGGCCTGCCTCTTTAGGTAGATAGGATTGCATAAGAGCCAGGGATTCACTTTCATGACCCCTGTGAATAACTCCCAGAGAAGCAGTTACTGTAAGTTTTGCCCAGTTGGTAGCTCTAGCCAGCCATTCTAAATTATCTCTCAAAAATTGATCACTTGTTGTACCTGAATGCATGAACGCATTTGCTATCACTGTTGCTGTGTGACAGATAGACACTCTAATGGCATCTTTAGTGTTCTTTAATATAAGTAAATCTGCATGGTTAGACCTAATTAAGAACTGTAGTTGTAATCCTATAGAGACATCTCCTCCCAAAATAGATATTAACTTTTCAACCCTCCTTTGGTGCTCTTTTTCTTCATCATTCAGACTTTCAATATCTCTCTCTGGTTTCTTTGCTTCCTCAGCGGGTTGATCTACTTCCATGGCTGCTGCCTCTGGGAATGGGCCCCCTTGAGGTTGTGGTTTACCACCAAGAGCACTAGGGATGGGAGCTGTGCTTCGTAAGGCTTGTAAAACTCTGCCAAGGAACTGTTGTGTTGCTGAATCATACAAGTCAAAGGCTATCTGATAAGCCATAAGGACTGACTCTTGGGGCCCATTTGTTAACTTATCTAAAATTTCTGCTACTGACAGGGGATCTTCAAGGAAGATGAGGCACTGGCACATGTTAACATAATCAGGTATGTTCAGACCTCTGTAAAGACCCACCAAGGACCGGAGGACTGTGCTACGAAAGCCCTTGTTCTGGAGCAGGCTCATAGCAACTGTGAAAGCATACTGAAGCATACCTGAAAGCAAAAGAAAATAGTCTTTACATTATTTTTGTCTAATTAGTTTGTTGTCTGTTGTTTACAAAATTTACGATCATTACTGGAAAGAGTAGTAAATGAAACACTCAATATTTCTGATAAATAATTGCAGGTGTTAACATGAACCACTGTTACTAGATGAAAAAACTTACAGAAAGTCTCATATTTAGACAGATTTAACAAATTAATGTATTATTAGAATTTAGTATTATAAAGAATTGGCATCATTTGTATTGAGATGGCCTAACAAGTAAGTCATTTATTATACACTCAAAGCAATGGTCCATTTTTGAGGTAGCAAGTATGCAAGACAAAAACAAAATCAAATTTATCTATGGCTGTTTCTAAACTGAAAAAAAAGCAAATATTTTGTTAATCCCTATGGCTACCTCTGATTTTAAATTATGTTGTAGTATTATAACCTAATAAGTTAAAACAATAGTGATATAAATCCTTTTAGATTGATTATTTGTAGATGTAGTATATATTTTTTTAATTGTTATTTATTAAGTGCCTATTATGTACTATTAAACTAGTATGTTAGAAGGAGGTTGACATAGTTTAGTCTTGTAGTTGTAATTGTGGTTGGCTGCAATTACTGCCGGCTATACTGTTTTGCGACTGCAGTCTACAGGTTGTGTCAGACTTTTATCTTATGATTTGTGACTATAAACACCTTGCAGACACTATTACTTTTTGTTTTATTTTTTTAACCTAACCTAAGCCTAAGCATTCATGGTTCAGATATTTATGACAAACTTCCAGAAGCAATTGTTATATTGAATAAAATTATTGAAATGAGATGAGGTTATGAGGTGATAATTAAAATATAACTTCTACACATATACAAGTGGACTGGCTTATTTAATTGCAATTTAATAAACAAATACATTTATTTAAACATAAACTTAAAAAACTGGTTATTTACTAACTGGCTGGCTTCTTATTCATAGCTATACTAAAAATTGTTTTGACAACAAAGAAGAATGACAAGACATTTTTGATTGAGTTTAAAAATCTGTTACATATTACTTTGTTAACTATATATTGATGACTTACCAGCTACATCATCAGATTTCATGATGGATTCTTCGAATATATCCATACGGCGGGTTTCCAACGCCAGGCCAAGAGCCTGTCTATATTGCCCATCGTCAAGACATCGTTGGAACATTCGGTTAACAATGGCTTCCAAGCGAGGATCTATAACTTCTGCTGAGCTGTCCACGAACAATGCCTTCCTCTTCTGCGTATAGAAGTCAATTGCCTTCGCAATAGTGGTATCAACATACTCGTTTCGTGCATTAACATCGAATAGATCACCAGCGCCCAGCGCATACGTCAACGAATCTTCGAAAGCTCCTAAGTGATAGTATACCTTGCTAGCTACTAAAGCCGCCAGCTGATGTTGTGAAAATACTTTATCTTCATGAAGTATTTCAATTTTCTCAATAGACTCCGATATTTCAGGCCAAAACTCGTCGACTATGTTGTCCAATCTCTTCAACGCGAACTCCTTAACTTCAGACATAGGCTCGTCGAGCAGGGATATAATCCCCGCTGCTGATGTGATATTCATTTTGGTTTATTATTTTTAAAACATAAGATTCAATAGTAAAAATATATGCACACTAATTCCTCTAGGCAATTTCTCAAACGAGCACAAATATCGTGATGAATTGACAAATTTCTTTTACCATAAACAATAAAGATTTGGTGGGGCTACCAATTTAAAATTTCCCTTTTCAATGTTCATCTTTTGTCAACCAACTTTTAATAGTTGTTTTAAGTATAACAAGTTTATATATACATGATAAATAATCGTGATCCAGTTAATAAATTGTTAAGGATAAAATAATTCCAATGTAATTACATTTTTTTTGTTGTAGCTTCAAAATGTAAACCATAGACATGAAAAGCCGAGTACCAGTTTTCAAAATACTTGAAAATAAAGAATAACTTGTGTTCAAAAGTTTTAATTTTTCAACTTTTTCATTTCTTAAATGATAAAAATATTTTTTTATTTTTCGTTTTCATTAGTTATTAGATTTCATAGATGTAGAATGTACATCAAAATTTAAAATATTTTCATGTAGGATTTACCAATTTACAACGTGTTATTACTACATGTTTGGAGTTTAGCCTTGATGTGTGAGTTGACAATTTTCTGTCAAATAGACATTTCTACGTAGTACAGTTGAAGGGAAACATCTGTGAGCTTGTGCTCTTGTAATTTGTCGTAATAATTATACAAAATGTTAGACCTATTCAGCATTTTCAGTAAAGGAGGGATAGTACTGTGGTGTTTCCAAAGTACAAGCGAAATTTTTTCGCCGTCTGTAAACGCTTTAATTCGCAGTGTAATATTACAAGTAAGTGTTATCAAAGTTGGGAAGCCCTTAGCTATATGTCTTGTAATCCTATTAGGTATTCAGAACGTGGATTTTCCTTATGTACCAAACCTTATCCTTCGAACCGGTTTAAACGTACGATTTGCCAAGTTTTCCTGCTATCTATGTTTATGTCCTTGGCTTGTTTTTTTTTTGCGTTTTAATCCTGTTATCAAAGTCCTTTGAACTTCTACATCCGTTTATCGAATAAGTATACATATGGTTCATTTATTTTCTGCCTTTTAAGCACAGTGGATTACGAATATATATTTTAAACACTAACACTTGTTACATGGCCATGTCGGACAAGTGTCTTCTATACAGCTTGGATACAGATAAAATAAGTTTTTTTTTTCAGGAGCGGTCAGGCAATAACACCTTTAATCATAATGCCTTAACGCTGCAGTATAAACTCGACAATGAGTTTGAGTTAGTGTTTGTGGTTGCATATCAACGCATATTGCAGTTATCATATGTGGATAAGTTTCTCAATGATGTTCACTTGGAGTTTCGAGACAAGTATAAGAATGAACTGCAAGGAGGCCGTCATATCATGGATTTTGATTTCAAGATGACCTTCGACGAAGTTCTGAGGAAGTGTGAAATTTGGGGTGTGTAATTTTTATCATACAACACTTTAAAAAGTGTTAATTCTGTGTAGTACTTGTGTCCGATTGATATTTATAAATAGGTACGTGACTTCAAACCTATTGTAACATTCAGCAAACAATGGGTAACAATGAATATGTATATAAAGTCCAAACAATCTGTTTTTAAACAATTACATTATTTACCAAAATAACCAAAAGAAAGTACTTAATAGTAACTTTAGAACATATAAACCGTAGTTAATTAAAAAATGATGATGTACTTGCAAATTGGTGTTGTTTTTTTGAAAAAATATTTATTCATAAAAGAAATCAGTTGCATAGCATTGTTTTTTCTTTACATTTTTTACTTCAATGCTAAATTTCAAAATAATTTTAATTAATGCATTTTGTTTAAGCAATATTTGTTTAAACTGACATTCTCTATTTTATAGCCAAAACCCAAGCTAAGATTCCAAAACAAATGAGAACATTTGAAGACTCACTAAAGTCCAAAAAGACTGTAGCTTCTATGATTGAGCGCAAAGGAGAAGAGAAAGGAAAGAAATCAGGTAAAGCTGGAATTAATACCAAACCATAGATTTTAATTAACTATGAAACCATAATCCACGCATTACAATTGTTAGACTTAATAAAATAAAGGCCATAACTTTTTAAATATGATATTTGAAGCTCCCCCATTTGGCTGTTAGCCTCGACATGGGTGTTCATAAGTCAATTTTTTTCAGTCAACAATGACCCACTTGAACATTAGAGGTTATTATGTAATTTGGCCTGCATTATAATCCTATTAACATGTGTGAGAGTATAATGTAATAATCATTTACCTAATTAACTAATTAGTAGGCATTGTACAAAAGTGACTAATCAGAATTTCTTAGATTCTTTTACATATCCTCATAGTGCCATAACTTATTTATGAACTTATTGCGGGTTTTCTTTTTAAGTTAGAGGGGGCAGACAACAAAACTCTACTCATGTATAAATATTTAAAATTTATTTCTGTTTATACTAGTTCAATGATGTAATATAAATACACAAGTGCTCCAAAAAAAAATATGCTTAATCCTGTAAAACCACATCACTTGACCAAGTGATGTGGTTTTGCAGGATCAAGTGATGTGGTTTTGCAGGATTAAGCATACTTTTTTTTGGAGCACTTTGGTATTTATATTACAACATTGAACTAGTATTAAGTAAAACATGCAACGCTAATATGTAACCCACAACTTTTTTAGAATTTATTGAAATCATCATCACCTTCAGAGGTAACTCATGTGCTTGTTTGCCATGTATTACATTAAAAAAAAAAACAACTATACACAAAGTAGTACAATTATACAACTTATGGAATTAAATTGAAAATAACTTAACTGCATCATACTGCAATTCAATAGCAAAGGTTAATTTCTTTTTCAGTAAAAATAGTTGAAAATAAGAGTTTGACTAATGGCAAGATAGAGGAGTCTCCTGAACCGGAGGATAGTTTTATTGCCAGTAACAGAGCCAAGTTGGCTCAGAAACTGGCTTCTAAGGTCAAAAAGGAACCTAAGTAAGTGATTTTATACAATCATAATTAAGCTGATTTATATTCTATTTTAATAATATATTATTTATATTATCTGTGTGGTGATGGATTATGAATACGGAGTGTCATTATCCTTTTTCATCCCATGGGTGGCAAAAGAGCCAACTAAGAGAGAAAACTATACAGGATAATAGCACTGCAAACAGGAGGAAAACTTGAAAAAAACCCTAAACCAAACCGTCTGGCCAGTGTGGTATAGTAGGGCAAAACCTCCTTTCGAAGGGAAGGCCTATGTTCAGCCAGTGAATTACAAAAAGCTGTTGATGATGATGATAATATTGCATTTTATTATCGTAAATGCAATAATTTAAAACTCAGCAGTGCAGAGTTTACTAAAATTAAGATAAGTATCTTTTTTTTTAATTTTCTTGATATAATGATCCTAAATACATACGAAGACATGATGTAATGGGAAGTGTCAAAGTCAACATTATTTTTTTCTCCTTTTTTCTTCTCTTTTCTTTAAAGAAGAAAAATCTTAGAAGGTTAAGACTACACCCATTACTAAAAACAAAAATACTAATCAAATTGTTGAAAAGTCCTCTCATTCTCCCTTTATTTAAAATAAGCTTTTTGTCCAAAATAAGCATCTACCAATAGAGTCACACAATTCCATTATATTGTCTATTATTGTATTGCCTATAGAAAGTCACCGAAGAGTCCCAAGGTAGACCGTGTGAAACAGCCGCGCGTGTGGGAGTTGGGCGGAGGGACACGCGACCTACCCTCGCTTGACTTTAGCACTGACAAGCCGGAGGATGCTGAGAACAATGTTTCACCTGACACACATGTAATTATACTTTAACTACATTTTATTTTAATTCAGAATTGGCTAATTATTGCTAACCTAACCTAACTTCAATACTTTTTGCCATAATTGAAGTCTCACATTGTGTATACCTAAGTGGAAAGTAAATTGTAAGTTCCACTCAATCATATAATAATAACCGATCGTATGCTTGATTTTGAAGTTGGTGGGTAAAATGACCGGCGCTATTCGCGACCTGGAGGTGGAGTCGGAAGAGAGCAGCAGCGAAGAAGAAATCGAATATAACACACAGTCGAGCCCTAAGAAGACCACGGGCATGTTCAGCATATTCAAGGGTGAGTAGCAGTAAATTTATCAAAACATCATTAAATTACTTTAAGCAGTATAATAAGATTCGTTTATTATGTGTTTACTTAATCTGAATTTTTAAATCCTAGGGCTGGTGGGTTCCAAGGCACTATCAGAGGAAACGATGCGTCCGGTGCTGGAAAAGCTACGCGATCATCTCATCGGCAAAAACGTTGCAGCGGACATCGCTAACAAGTTATGTGATTCTGTCTCCACCAAGTTGGAAGGAAAGGTATGATGAACCTACTACTACTACTACTAAATTGGCTTTACTAGGCATATATTTTTAAATAATATATTTATTAAGGTAATATGGTGTGTGATACTCAATACAAGGTTATTTATTTAATTTTTTACTTTTCGGGCCAAAGGCCAAGTGTTTCTGGACGGGGAAATATTTATTACCGTCATTTTAAAGTGGCGAATTTTTATGTTTTCCTAAAGTATTAGAACAATCACAACATTTTTTTTTCAGTCGTATAGTATAAAAATCACAATAGTTTGAAGTTGCCTGTAAGAAATTGCTTTTAGCTATAAAAACCGCCGTTTGCAACCATTTACCTCATATATGCCTTGTTTAAATTATGTTGGTATAATGGTAATAAAATAATTATTAATGATAATAGTTACTGCACACATCTCACACACGGCCGTCTGATCCCAAACTGGGCAGAGCCTGTGTTATGGTAACCAGACTGCTGATAAAGTTACTTATGTATTTACAAATATTAAAGATTAATTATTATTATTATCTGTCCTGGGTTTAAATTGAACCCACGACCTCTAGCTTAGCAGGTCACTAACGACTAGTAATCAGTGTAAAAACGTTTAAAGCGTGATGTAGGACCGTTTGTTAATATTAACATAGGTCGATTTAAATTCGCTATCGCTAACTACGCTTACTCATATTTTTACACTGATTACTAGTCGTTAGTGACCTGCTAAGCTAGAGGTCGTCTCTAGCTTAGCAGGTCACTAACGACTAGTAATCAGTGTAAAAACGTTTAAAGCGTGATGTAGGACCGTTTGTTAATATTAACATAGGTCGATTTAAATTCGCTATCGCTAACTACGCTTACTCATATTTTTACACTGATTACTAGTCGTTAGTGACCTGCTAAGCTAGAGGTCGTCTCTAGCTTAGCAGGTCACTAACGACTAGTAATCAGTGTAAAAACTTTTAAAGCGTGATGTAGGACCGTTTGTTAATATTAACATAGGTCGATTTAAATTCGCTATCACTAACTACGCTTACTCATATTTTTACACTGATTACTAGTCGTTAGTGACCTGCTAAGCTAGAGGTCGTCTCTAGCTTAGCAGGTCACTAACGACTAGTAATCAGTGTAAAAACTTTTAAAGCGTGATGTAGGACCGTTTGTTAATATTAACATAGGTCGATTTAAATTCGCTATCACTAACTACGCTTACTCATATTTTTGCTGTGTACATATTGCCACACCATAAAAAAACTTTCTTCCTGACTGTATGTATGTGTATCTCAAGGCGGCTTGATTTCAATTTGCCAGGTGCTAGGTACGTTCGACAGTGTAGCCAAGACGGTGAAGGCGACTCTGACAGAGTCGTTGGTGCAGATTTTGTCGCCCAAACGTCGTGTGGATATTCTGCGTGACTGTATTCATGCCAAGGAGGAGGGCAGGCCTTATGTTATGGCGTTCTGTGGGGTGAGTATATTATTATGACGTATTTGTCGTAAAATATGATTTTAGATAAATTTTAGAACTATTAGGAACATCAAAAATTGTTATTATTAATTTTAAAGTCATGTTGGTGAATTTTTGTATGACTTAAAGTTTGATATTCTGAGCACATGTCATTGTTTGTTCGATATTTTGAATCGTAGGTAATTTTATATTGAAAAAGTGTTTAAAGTGTGCATAATATGTCACATGAGATGGGATAAATTAGTAAAATGATATTTTTTATGAATGGGGTTGTTATATTTCTCTGGAATAAAGAACGGTTTATTCTTCGACTAAGTTAGGTGTTAAATATCGATTGTGCGATACAGGATAAATAGTTTCTCATGTGTTCGATAGATGACGCTAGATGACGATATAAATATTTTTAAGGTAACATGTTTTCACTCGCTTTCCTATAATCTGTTTTAGTGATTACATAAAAAGGGACGGAAATATGTAACAGAAGGTCAATTCTCGAAATGAAAGTTCATACAAAATTTAATTCCGATTTGAATTTCGATCTTACAAAAGCCATAAAAATTTATTTTCGTAGTAAAGGAGTTAAGTATTAGACTAGCAGAATATCGATTGTACTTTCCGTTACAATACGAGATAATTACAATACAGTTCACGTTTCATATTTAATACTTTACTACGAGAATACCTTTTTTATGATATTTTTAAGATCGAGCGTAGATCGGAACCGACTTATGAATGAATTTTTCCTACGAAAATTGACGTTCATGTGGTAGAGTCGGCTATCGGACGGCAGGCGATATCAGATATTAATATGTAAATATGCGTATCGTGCATCGCAATGAGAGCTTCGGTGACTCGTCCAGGTGAACGGCGTGGGCAAGTCGACGAACCTGGCGAAGATCTGCTTCTGGCTGATCGAGAACGACATGTCGGTGCTGATCGCGGCGTGCGACACGTTCCGCGCCGGCGCCGTGGAGCAGCTCCGCACGCACGCGCGACACCTCAACGCGCTCCACCCGCCCCACCACCACCGCGCGCGACAGATGGTACACCTCTACGAGAAGGGATACGGTAAGCGTCACACCCAGCCACAGAACAGACGATCGCGCTTATCGCACCACCATAGTCTTTAAAAACTAGATAAACAAGCCAGCTCGTTTCAATGCTATTTAAATACCGTGTGTAGATAATTGATAGCTAATTTATATTACATACCAGCTTTACTCAACATGCATTACGATGCTACGTAAAGTACCTATAAAGATATAACAAAAAATCCAGTGGCACTGCCGACAGAAGCGAAAACTTAAAAATTTAATTTTTTTCGATTCGAAAAGTTCCGTCATGAATATATATCTATGTTATACGTATATACACAATATACGTTTATATTATATATAGTTATATTATCGATGTATTTCAACCCAAACTCGACTCTCGTGTAAACGAAACCAATATATGTAGACACTCATATACAGAGGTGTAGGTAAGGGTAAAAGTTGTCGCGAGTTCAATATTTTTTTCTTATTTCAAAAAAATACATTCTTTTCTTTGTTGTTCAGAACTGCCCAACGACCTAAAAAAAAATTCACTTTAAAAACATTTAGATACATGTATATACATACTCAACTGATCATAATGAAATTTTACATGAACTATTTAAACAAGAAGTACTACGCTCGAGGAATAGTAAAATAACTATTAAATACCTAAAATCCGTGTTAAGGTTGTCTGGAAGATATAAGACCGCCGATTGTTACGTCTACTTATTTGTAACACAACTTTTGTTATAAAACAATAAATAAATAAATAATTAACTCTTACTTGAGCAAAGCCGTAGAAATATTGTAATTTGGGATTCTACCTTTTTTTTTTTTTTATCGTGTGGAAATTCCCTCGGACCGTCACCCCACCGGGGTTTGCGGCGCGGTGGTGTGTCGGAATTTGGGATTCTACCTAACCTAACCAATTAAATTAACAAAGGAAGTAGTTAGCTTAGTTGAACCGATTAACAGCCGTACAATAATAATAAAAAATATCGTTAAAATAAATATATTTTTACTTTTTAATAATTAAGTAGACAGAAGGTGTGTATTACTGTATTTAATTTTATTATTATTTAATTGTTAAACCAAAATAAGTAAATTATTTAAATAATATTTAGGTCATCATAACTCATTATTTATATAACTTACACACTGCTACAATAATAGTAGCAGACAGTGTTTTACAGTTCCTTGTTGGAGCAGTAATATAAATAACAGATAGCATTGCTATAGTACTGTTGTCTAACTATTGAGATCTTTTCTCTAAGGACTCTCCACACTTGACTACTCGATTCAATTGATTACGTAAACTATATTTCCTAAAGTGTAAATATGTATATGCCCTAATATTCAGAGAAGCTTATCAGGCCGTCTTTTTTAGCAACGGCTTCTAAATACATTTCAAAATATAGCAAAGAAATGTGATCGACAGGTAAAGACGCTGCCGGAATAGCAATGGAAGCCATCCGCTACGCCAACGATTCCCGCATCGACGTGGTGCTGATCGACACGGCCGGCCGCATGCAGGACAACGAGCCGCTCATGCGCGCGCTCGCCAAGCTCATCAAGGTCAACGAGCCAGACATGGTGCTGTTCGTCGGAGAGGCCCTCGTGGGGAACGAGGCCGTCGACCAGCTCGTCAAGTTCAACCAGGCGCTCGCCGACCACAGCTCCTCCACCGACCCGCACGTCATCGACGGCATCGTGCTCACCAAGTTCGACACCATAGACGACAAAGTCGGTGCTGCCATCTCTATGACGTATATAACGGGCCAGCCCATCGTGTTCGTGGGGACGGGGCAGACGTATACCGATTTAAAAGCTCTGAACGTCAACGCCGTTGTTCATGCGCTGATGAAGTGAAGTTGACGAGAGACGGGTATGGCTTAGGTTGTATGCTGCTAGAGATAATATCATTTTAGTTTTTATGTGAAATACTTTATTATTATTACTATTATATAACTGATCTAAACTAATGAAAACAAATTCTAAATCAATTAAAAATGAATTCGAATTATGATGCTTATTTTTCTAGTTATTAATTAATATTTTCTAGCGTATATTATGCTTTAATGTTTTCGATGTGAAACTTCTAAGGCCCGTTGATATAGCGTGACGACGCGTCGCCACGCGTCGTGTCGCGTCGTGCTCGGAATATTATACTTCTAATTGTGCTATATTTTTGTTATTTCCTTTGATAAACTATCCTTTTTTTCATTTTTCTACAAAATAATTTCGATGTTTCACTTATTTTCTTTTTATTTTATTGTGCCGCTTACATAGAAATGAGAAATTGATTAATAGTTTAACTAATTATTATTAACTTACCTTTTATGTTTCGTGATAGAGAATTAAATTTAAAATTAAATAATCACCTCCATGAATAATGCACCTATATAAAAATTTCGGCAGGCGCCTTTCATCGAATGTCAATTAATAGTGGGACTTAGAACCTCGTAATTACAACAAATTGTTAACCTATACAGCATACAACCTAAGTTAAAGATGAGATCGAATACCATTATAACCATATACGAGTACCATGAAACTCATATTATCAAAAAACGGTATCGCTTTTGCTAACTAACTATCCGAGTTTTTTATTGTAAAACAGAAAACAGGCAGGACGATATGGACAATAGAAGGTGAGCTATATTTGTATTAATTTCAGCGCTCGATTGTAAAGTTATAAATGGTTATGTTTTCAAATAAATATTTTATTTTTATATTATTTTGTTTTTATTTCCGTCGTGATGTGATACAAAATTATTTTTTAAAACGCATATTTGCTTTGTTAATTTATTTATTTCATTAAATTTGCGTGTGATCGCGTTTATTTCCTTGTTTGCTATCTTAATAGTGTAGAAACTGTGCTACATATAGCTTTTTTATTATTTTGACTCCGTACTAATTAATATGACATTAATTTTATTTACAAGTACCATAGATCGGCTTAATACGAATAAAGGTTTTGCTTAAAATAAATAAATGTTCGCTAAAATAATACCTTACTAATAATTTAGTTTTCTCTTATAAATTTCTCATAAGAATATGCTAATAACTTTCATTATTATTTAATATAAATAAAGAACCCGATTTGAGAAATAAATTTTGTACTTTAATTTGTATTTATATTAAACAGGGACTTAAAAAAGATGATAAAAAAAATATCTGTATCAAAAATATGTTAAAAATAAACTTAACTCTTCTGTTTAAAGTAAATTATTGACTGATTTAAAAAAAAACGTAAAATGTTTTCTCATTAATTTCAAGTCAAAGTTATCTTAGAATTAATGGAGGTTATATGCCCAAAGATGGCGGTGCTCTTTGCCAGTGTTGCCAATGTGGGGATGTATTTTATTTGGAGCATTTTTGTATAAATAATAATAATCGTTTATTCGAGTAACATTTGACTCCACCAACACACAACAAATCATCCACCATTTGAGGAAGTCAAAGTTAGTTACGTAGAAATTAGACGTTAACATAAACAGGCAATATGACTGCCATCTTAGAGCGTCACGTTTTTCAGTATAATTAATTGATGATTGAGGGGACCTCTCGGTACATGAGAGTTGAACGAACACGTGCATGATTGTTTGAAACTTGCTTTTCGTGTAGGAAGGAGCAGCAAATATTGTTAACTCTCAAGTACTCACGCATATTATAGGCTATACGCGTGTTTTGTTCCTTCGATACGCTGAAATGTTAAAAAAGTATGCTTCCAGTAGAGCCCAAATCTCCCAAGTCTTATGGCGAAATAACTGATGTCACACTATTTTTGGATGCAAAATTTCCACAGTCCTTCATGACAATGAAGCTGAAGGAATTGAAAGAAAAATCTTTTATGAATATATATGTATATATGCTAATCGACGAGAGAATTCTTCATATTGTGATACAGGATCAGAAATTCTCTTTCAGGAGTTACTCTGTAGTTCGCTGTGTCTTCGTTAGATGGCGCAGTAGTATGTTTATGTTTCTTTGTATGTGGGAGTCGCCACATCACTCCCAGTATATTTCTTCGTTTCGCGTTTCAGAAAAGAACCTTCTGTAGGTTTACTTTTATTTATAGGTCATTAATTTAGAGAGAAACAGCGCAGACCCTAGTTGTGTACGTGAGACTTGTAGAGTAAGAGAGAGAAAACCATCTGGGTGTGGCTCAAATAATTACATACTAATTCATGTTCCTCAAGCCTTTTACATTACAACGAATTTCACAAAATTTCTAAGCGTTATTTTCTGCACTATAAACAATAGTTATTTTATGACATGTACATCCTACTCTGCTCATAGATGCTCACTCGCAGGAGTTAGAACAGTTGTTTGAGTTCCGTATGTTGTATCTAAAGATAAAAAGATAATGTTCAGTATGTCAAATTCTATAAGTATAGGGCTAACTATAGGGTTGCCAGATGATTAAAAAATGTATGACTTGTTTGAAATGTCATACACTGTTCAGTTAGTAATACCCAAAATTCACTGCTCCTCTATGTTCTAATGAAATGAAATGTAATAAAGAATACATGACATCACTAAGTGATGAGGCCAGCGCCCGATTGCTTCTAAATTTAATTTTAAAATCGGAACTCCGTTCGTAAAAATGTTGAAAAAGTAGCGTATTTCTGGCAATCCTAAATAAATCATTATTTAATATTTTGTTATCTTTTCCTATATTGTAGAATATTTAATATAGTAAATTGAGATAATAGCATTAATTTTAAGTGCCTTGTATTGCTTACACGGAAAATAATAAAATGTTTTATGTCGACATGTAGCATTCCGTAACAAAAACACTGCCCTACCTTTTTGGGTGATATCAAACGTTTACACCGTTATCGTTAATTAGTACGATTTAATAGTGATAATAAGCCTAATATTTATATAAAATATTGGAAAATCTATGCTAAACATTACTACAAGTCATGAATGCAATAAATTAAAAATTACACCAAAATTTTCAATATTTCGATAACACAAAGAGGACTAATGTGTTTTACAAAAAAAATGGTTTCTTAACAATAAAGATGATAATGTTACAACAATGGTAGTTTATTTCTACCATAGCGACGTCATAGTAATCAAACATGTACGGTAAACCTTTTTTAGTCAATTTTCTTGAATCACATTTTTTTTTCCGTCAAGATCGATATCTTTACGAAAAAAAAGAAAAAAATGTATGCTATTTTTGCCATATTTTTTTCCAATGCATCTTTGACATAATACTCCCTATTTCAAGGCAGATTTTTGCCTTTTCTATTAATAGGGATCTCAAAATTTCGCATTATGATTATTTAGCTACACCATGTGCTGTCATAAAAATGTTTTTATTTATGAAAATGGTGATCGTTAAATTTGAGATTGTAACTCAAAAGTAAATAAGAACTAAATAAACAAATAGCATTCCAAATATTATATTTATTGTTATAATAGTAAAATGTTTTAATAGGGTCATCCATAAATGACGTTACACTAATTTTTTGCCCTTACCTTGATGTCATTTGTGGGACCTCCCCCCCACTTTGATGTGACGTCAAGTGTTTGCCATTCTAAACCCAGAACCGAAGATATAAAACAGGATTGCCTTAAATATTACAGCGGTCGAGAACTTGAGGACAAAACTATTTAAACCTTTTATCGCGTTACACTTCGTTGATCCACTCGCTTCTTAATGTTACATTAAATTTATGGATGACCCCTTATATTTATTATAGATAGTAAATTATATTATACTATTTTTTTTTGTATAATACGTATCGCCATGTAATTTTTTGTATAAAATATAAGTTAAAATGAAGAAATTATTGGCATGGCAACTGAATTATGCCTGGTTTTTTATTATGAATACAGAAATTTTGATATTTGAATAAAAATATAATAAAACACACTACATGATTTTTATTTATAATACCTGTAGTAATTAAATCACTTGGGATCTACTTAGGACGTAAGCCACGTGTGGCGCGGCGTTAGTGTAGTCAACTGCCAGGTCCGAAGACGCGGGTTCGAGTCTACCTCATTGCAAATATTAGTATACATGAATACCTTATATTTACAAATGAATGTATTCAATATGATTCGATATATTGCATGTACAAATAAAATGTAAATATATCAGTAAACCACAACAAGGTATCAGCAGTATACAAAAATCAGACCGAGACAGAACAAATGATCTTGAATGAGTATGAACCGTGTCTACAATCTCTGGGTTAGCAGCCAGGGGCACTAATCATTATACCAACAGGACATGTGTGAAGTAGAGTAGTATAGGTTTCTAAGGGGCCTTCAGATTGCGAGTCCTTTGTCATAACAAGCGTCTACGGCCTATGGTAACCGCTTATCATATTTTTTTTATGGAAACCTTCAGCTCAAGAATCAAAAGTACTTTGTCGTCTTTTCAGTCCCACCATCAATCTCACTCACTCACTCAGTGAAAAGCAATGAAAAAATTACTTAACACCGGTTTTATGTAAGGCCGTAGTATTTCGAGCCGCCCCATTTGTGCCGAAGCATGGCTCTCCCTCAAGCCCTGTATACCTATTTGTTTGCCACCAATTCCATTTTCCATTTCTATATTTATTTATAAAAATCTAAAATATTCGTATACTCCCTAACCCCACTTTTCGTCTTCCAATCCTTGCGTCCCTTTTCACTAATATACGGTAGTACACTAGTAGCTTACCATTAATTTTATTACTAATTCTAATTATAAATAATAATAAAAAAACTATAGATTTAACTTCACTTCCTATTTTTATATGGAACTAGTTTTTACCAGCGATTTGGTTCCCATGAACATGAACTTTAAAACGAATTATTTTTTTCTAAAAAAATATTGCTATTTATAATTTCTGCTAACATGTGCAAAATTTCATGAAGATAACTGGACTATTAAATCATAACAAACGAAAGAACTCACATTCAAATTGAAAACAGTTAGGATGAGACTGTACCAATGCCACTGATATACCTGCTCCGTGATATATATATTATGTAATGTGGATGATATCTAAACTGACTATGTCACATTACAGAATTACCGCAATAATTACGCGTCCTTCTAATAAACAACATCCTAATTAAAACAAATAATTATCGTGCGGTGTTTTCGGTACGATTCATTCAATGTGTCGGAGCCCTAACGTTTGTACATACAAGTAGGGTGTAAGGATTTAAGAAGCCAAGATGGGGCAAACCTTCGATTATTTAAAACACATGGTCGTGAATTTTAAGGTGGATATGTGTTGCTGGTTGGCTCCAGTGAAAATTGGCCTACTTATTATAGCGTACTTAAATATTATTGTACAGGTAAGTGATTGTATAAATTTAATTATCATCTCATAATTATTTTGCCTTTTTTCCAATTGTATTTAAAATTGGGTTCTTGTGTGATCACTTTTATGGTCGGCCGCCAGCCCATCATCATTCCTTAATTTTCACCCTTAGGGGCGGGCGGCATTTGTTCTTCCTTGAATGGAACTAAACGAAAAGTATACTGTTTCAAATAAAAGAAAGAATTTTCTAAATCGGTTCGTAAATAACAGAGTTCTGAGGTACCAAACATTAATAAAAACACACAGCTGAATTGAGACATCCTCCATTTTCTAAAGTAGGTTAAAAATATGTTATGGCCATAACCTCTGATCTATTTTCAGTTCCAATATGATGGCCTATTTCTATAGCAATATTGAAAATTGTATGTACGAGGGAGCACCTTATAAATCCTCTGAAGCCATAAAAACCTGTGTTTGAAGGTAGTTCATCATCATCATCATCATCATCATCTGTAGAAAGAAGATATTGAATGGACGTGACCTGTGTTGTAAGAGTCTTACCTACAGCAATAAGTACTTAATACCTTTTATTGAAAACAACTATAGTTAATATGCAATAGTCAGGCACCGCGTGGTCTTTTGATTAAAGTCCGAATTGAGAGAGCCTTGAGTACGAGTTGAACAATTTAATGGCTTTCGAAGTCATACATTTCGACTGCACGGATGGCGTAATGGTTTAAGCGATCGCCACGCCGCTTCCTACTGCGATGAGTGTTGTGGGTTGGATCACCACATTGGACAACACTTTGTGTCATCCACAAATTGTCGTTCTGAGTCTGGGTGTTTTTGAGTTCGTTTTCTGTATGTTTGTACAGTCCTCCGCGACACAAAATATTTTCCTAATGCTTGAGTTGTTTTAAAAAAAAAAACAAACTTCTAAACATATATATCCTTATAGTCGTAGAATAGTGTTGGATCTGATATATATTAAACTTTACAGGGCAGCCATTTCAAATAATTATGTTATTTTTTTGACATATCTTTTTTAGTTCTAAATCTTTAATTATGAAAATTGGCGTACAAGTGAAAATAGGGTTTATTTTAAAATGCAATAAACATAACAACTAATAATTATACAATTTTAGTATAATATTTTTAATAATTATACAGTAGAAAAATCACATGCCTCATTTTACTTTGAGCGCCTATCAAATAAACACTGAATAATTTAAAATCTAAAATACATTTAATTTTCCTTGAATGTAGTAATAATATTTAGGCAATGTGGTAAAAACTGATATTTTCAAAACCGACATTATTCTACGATCATGACGATATTATAGATAAATTATACCTAACCACAGAACAAACGGACTGCCCAAGACCGGATGGTTGGCGCTCTGCACTCTGGAGTGGACGGCAATAGGCTGGATGATGATGATAGAACAAATGATCGTGCTCATCATACAATTATTGTTCGTAGTTAAGAATCGAAACCACGCCACTAGACTAACAGGCCCATCAAAGACCCGTTAAATCCAAAATCGAAAGAGCTTTGAGCACATGTCAAATACCTATGTGCAACTTAAAAGGCAACTAAACCATTCTTGAAGTCCTTCATACGAAAATGAGTTGGATAATGGTTGCTTCATTAGAATAGCCTACTGTCAGGCTTAAGCGCATCACTTTTACTTTTCGATATTAATGAAAGGGTCCTCAGAAGTGGTATAATCAGCATTCAGACTTGACTCAAAAGTCTGTAAGGTATTATAAGAGTTGATTGCTGGTTAAGCGGTTCACAACTTTTGAAGGATGTTAACAATTCCTATCGTACTTTTGGGCACTAGAGGTTTCTTATGCCATTGTGGCATAAGAAACCTCTTTAAGGGTCTTAAAATAATACGATGCTCACATTGTTCTTAATCAAATTAGTTAAGATGAGTATAGTTTCTCCAATAGCATTTAAAAAACTAAAAAAATGAAACCCAGGAGTAAAAATCATTCTCCCGGCCCGCCAGGCCCGGGAACGGGCCAGGTACCGCAGGCGACTCAGGTGCCGGAGGTCGCAGAACGACCTCCGTCCTCCATAAGCGCAGGCCTGGGGGTGACAGGTGCGGCCATCTGTCACCCTAGCAGAAGCAGGCCGGGGTGGCGGCGAGCGCGTTGCGAAGCGCGCTCGCTTCCAGGGAGCACAGGGAACATGGAGTTCCCACACGGGGGGCGGGGTCGTCTACTCGTCTGTAGATGACCCGAGGTATGTCGGGGCACCAGGGACTTCCTTTCTAGGGTATACCTGGTTCCCCGGCTATTAGTACCCGAGACGGCGTGCGGTTTTAGTCGGTTCGAGTCCGACATGCCAATGACAGGTGGTATCCGAGGGGATTTCTTCACGGGAAAAAAAAAAAAAAACATGAGTCAGTTACATAAGCCGGCTATAAAGCCGATAGTACTTTTTATAAGTTGCTAATCATAGAATAATGATTTCAGGCAATATCACTAATTGGTTTATCAGATGATACTTTCGTTTCGCTTACAATGTATGTGCAGACAGCTATATTAGATGATAACGCAAAGAAATCACTTCCAGTCCTCGGCCATGCTATTGACCTTTCGTTTACTGTAATACTACTGTGTGCTGTTTATCGGGTAACGTATTTTCTATTTCTGTGTACTTCTGTAACAAGTTTTCTAGTCTACTGGTTAGTTTTAGTAAAGAAATTACTTGCACTGATCCATCCTAAATCAATAACACTTAGGTACTAAACACTTGCACTGTGTAATTCATTTGTTTGACAGTGCAATTTTATTCCTATTTTCCTACATTCACTTTTTAATTATGTTAAATTATTTTTGCGATGTTTACTTGTTTTGACTCTGATTCTTGCCTTGTAGAGGCGTAAGAGTATGGAACTACTGGTGATAGAAAAGTAGTTTTCCGAACTTATCATCCAGGATCGTACCTGAATACGTATAATACCTCTTAACCATACTTGTATATTTCAGAAAGACATACAATTAATGCGGTTATACCAGCGGTACTGCATCGCTGCAGTGATCATGTCCGTTTTGGTTTATTCCATGATCGTAGCGGCTCTCGGCGTCCTACTTGGTATAGTTTTGGTCATGGATATAGGTACGTTTGAAACGTTTTTTTACTTTAAATACATTTCGTAATAGATCCATCGAACACCTGTTTTTCTATTCTAAATGTTTATACATAATATACTTTTACAATATACATAGATTTAAAATAAAAGACCTACTGCGAAAACAAAATACGGCACAAATCTATTTCATAGGTTGCAAAATTTGTCCGTTCGTCGATCGACCGAATTGGCTTCAAGTCTCTTCGGACTAGAAGCCATTTCGGCTTTACAATTTAATGAGTAGGTGCGTCACAGTCTACTAACTTATTAAATGCAATTGAAAGAGTGAAAAGCAAGTTAGTTAAGTAGTTAAGTTAAGTTGTTCACTCTAAGATAATAAAATAATAAATAATTAGATAATGTGCGTGACCCCGACACCCACTTGGGCGATTTTGTGTCCTTTTTGCAATAGATATTTTAAACATATACTGGGAACTCTCCTACTGAGGAATTAATTATTTTGACCTCAGGTACATAAAACTCCGTAGGGTTGCCATTCCCTATTTGGTATTGGTATTGCTAAGTCTCTAAAAAAGGATGAAATCAATAATTAAGTAGCATAAAAATTTGTTATCTTTTCCAGTGTTCCAATTATATGTCTTAGTGTTAGTCCGAAGTGCGATAGTAGAAATCAAACAAGAGAAGAAGGATCAGGAGTTACAAAGCACATATGTGATGAGTACATTGACCTTAAAATCAAAGGAAGACAAGATTGAACCTGATGTCGAAGCCCCGCCAGATGCTGACGAAACTGAAGTTAAACTTGAAAACGGCGAGAAGAAAGACAGGCTGGAGACTGTAGACGAACGTCCTGAAACCTCTCATTCCGAGGAGCCGAAAACCCAACAAGAAGTCAAAGAAAATAAGTAATTGTAGGTTTATTTATTGTATAAGAATTGTTAAAAATAGTTTATTGCATTCAATAAAGATAAAACAAATATTAAGGGTAATAAATCATTGGAAAATTTAAGTAAAACTTTTTTTTAACAATGGTGAAATGATTTTTAAAAAAACCTTGAAAATGGTAACATTTTTTTTATTTAGTAATGAAACTGCTGAAATGAAACAAAGCCTGACACAAAACATTTAATTTTATGTGAAGTGTGTTTCGTATACCATACAACACACACCTACACATCGTACTCGTACTACTAAACTTGTATCGCGCAAGCAATGAGTTCTGTCGCCTGGTCTCGGAGTATCCTCCCTTTGTGTTAGAGGGACACAACACCCGTTCCTCCACAAGTTCTTACCTTTGGGGTAAACGATATTTCACTGAATACTTAATTTCCTATAATGTTAATAGCTTGTCTCAGTCGAACAAATAAAGAAAGTCTAAACTGGCCATTGGAAAATAAAAGCTGTTTTTTGCCGAAGGCTCGTCCTTTACGTGTATCGTTTCTCTCTCTTTCTTCAGCTTGTTTCGACCCTTCGGATGCAGGCCTCCTTCAAAAATTTGTACCATTTATGTAAAGCAAACCGTTAAAATGTTATATAAAATAAGTTGGTGTGACTGTGTCACACTTATCTAATTAGAATAATTACTTTCATGACTTTTATTCATACTTATAAAGGACATAGGGTCTCTTCACCCATTGTTAAAGGAATTCCATTTAATGGCCAAATTAAAAACCTTTACATCACTATAATTTGTCTACAAATTCCACATGACAAATGACTGTACGCAAACTTTGCTGTCACATTAAATTTATTTATAGACGGGCCTGTTGGTCTAGTGGTTAGTGACCCTGACTGCTAAAGCCAGAGGTCGTAGGTTGGATTCCCATCCAGAACAAATATTATTGAGTCTGGGTTTAATTTATTTATTAAGAAATATATAAGTATGTTTATCAGCAATCAGGTCATATTATCACATATTCTTTCTAGTTTGGGATATGACGGCCGTGTGAGACGTGGGAAGTTATTTTATATTATTATTAAATATTGTAATATTGCTCCTTATATGAAGTAGCATCACATTAAAACTCTGTATGTCTGTACGTATGTTTATTTATTCATGTAATTAGGAACACATTATACATTGAATCTAATCTTGTGATATGATGAAACAAACTATGAAAGTGGCATAGACAGATCAACATCGATTAGAGATGGACTAACAGTATATACGAGGCAACTTACATAGGTTTACAATACAAAAAATAAAGTACTGTCTCTTCTTAGATTAAAAAAATAGTCGCAAACATATATTGTCATAAAGGTTTCATTTAAACAGAGGCTTTGTTTATTCTATTGACATTTCTAGAAAGTTCTATTAACACTTAATAAGCCCTTTTCATACGCACTCTATTTCAACAGACACCATAGTGCATTCGCGACAAGAAAAAGTTCCAGGATCAGGTTCCAAGAAAATATCGTTTCGTGCGAAAGCTTGGGAATCTAAATTGGTTAGAGTGGGGCTTGATCAATACGTCACTATTTTCTTAACGCGAATGCACTTTAGCCTTATTGTATCACGAATGACGCTGCCTGTGTAGGTTAACCATCGCCCTAGTACCTCATTTTTGATACATAAACCCTTCATTAAAGGGGTATTTGTAATTTACCAAGTACAAAATTTAAATTTATTCGAGTGTTCATCCAGGTATTCTTTGGAAAACCCCCGGAGAACTGATGTGGCGATACAGTACTTTTAAACATAACTACTAAACTTATATCAAGACAATAGGTATCTAAACTTTGTCCATTCGTTTATTTTCTTTTTTCGGATTCGATTAAAACAGTCAACTTTAATGATCAAAGACCATTTCTCAACAATGTGTGTGTCCATTATGGCATTTATGGTATTTCTAAATCATATGGACACACATTGAGAACTTTCTGATAATTTATTCTTCAACATTATCTAAGAATGATGCAATATCTCAAGTGTAAATAATTATCCTAAATTATTTATTATAACTTCAATTGATAAAAAATGATATGTTTAATTTACCTTAAATTATTGAAATAATGTTCTACTAAGCATTCAACTCACGAATTTCTAAAATTTTCAAGTTGCAACTGGAATTAAATTACAATCTGATCAATGGTTTTAAAACGCGTAGAGAACAAACAATATTATTATATAAATACTCAAAAAATGACAAAAAAATATACGAATGGACAGAGTACAATAGTTTTATTTGCTGGAGTTTAAGTAGATTGAACAAAATATAGAAAATAATATGTATGCAGTTATTTTCTTTGTCAAATATAAAGAAAAATAACGATAGAAGTGATATCTACCATCGACATATTGTCGACAGTCTACTAAAGATGGGGTAGCAAGGTATACTAATTCTATTTTACAGAATTGTCATTAGAAAAATAGTTTCGAAAAATAGTACAGAATAAGAATTTCTTTAATGGACCCAAAAATGTGTTTTTTAACAGAGTTTTAAAAACCCTATAACCCAATAATACTGAAATTATATATTGTGCGGTTCCGATTTAATGTTTCTGGTAAAAAAAATGTCTTAAAGGATGTTGCCAGTTTTCAATACAAGTTGCACTTCTTGCAGTTACCCGCATTAATACTTATTAAAAGGTTATACATTATTTGTATCTGGACTTCAAAAAATATCTGAATATTTGAAAACCAAAATACAGGTATGACTGGTTTGTTGGGCCTCGTGTTATTGTTTCAAACCCTGATTCTGCAAGGTAGAAGAACAAGCATTTGAGTTTTAGATACTAGAAATATTTGGACAACAAATATATTCTATTGTTTTCCAAATATCGATAGTTGTAGCGGGATTTGGGAAAGTGCAGAGGGAGAATTGTAATGCCAGTCTTAAATACTACGTATATAAATAGACACCAATTACATTCTATTGTTTTCCAAATATCGATAGTTGTAGCGGGATTTGGGAAAGTGCAGAGGGAGAATTGTAATGCCAGTCTTAAATACTACGTATATAAATAGACACCCATTACATTCTATTGTTTTCCAAATATCGATAGTTGTAGCGGGATTTGGGAAAGTGCAGAGGGAGAATTGTAATGCCAGTCTTAAATACTACGTATATAAATAGACACCCATTACATTCTATTGTTTTCCAAATATCGATAGTTGTAGCGGGATTTGGGAAAGTGCAGAGGGAGAATTGTAATGCCAGTCTTAAATACTACGTATATAAATAGACACCAATTACATTCTATTGTTTTCCAAATATCGATAGTTGTAGCGGGATTTGGGAAAGTGCAGAGGGAGAATTGTAATGCCAGTCTTAAATACTACGTATATAAATAGACACCCATTACATTCTATTGTTTTTCAAATATCGATAGTTGTAGAGGAATTTCGGAAAGGAAAGATAGGGAAATATAACATCAAGTCTTAAATACTACAAATATTTAGACACCGATTATATTCTATTGCTTATAAACATCCATAGTTGTAGCTGTGCCTTGAAAAAGGGCAGGACAATTACAACACGAATTTAAATACTACGTATACAAGTATAAATAGACAGCAATTATATTCTATTGTTTTTTAAACATCGATAGTTAAATTGGGAATTGGGTAAATTCAGAAGGAAAACAACATCTTATGAGTATTAAATTCTGCAAATATTTTGATAGCAATTATATTCTTCTGCTTTTAAAAATCCATAGCTGTAGGTGGATTTTGAGAAAGAGCAGAGATAATTATAAAACGAGTCTCAAAAACTACGTATATAAATAGACACCACTTACATTCTAAAGTTTGCCTAACATCGATAGTTGTACTTGGGATTTGGGAAAGGTCAGAAGGGGAAATACAATATCTGGTCACAAATACTACAAATATTATGACACCAATTACACACTATTACATTTTAAACGTCGATAGTTGTAACTACGTTTTGGGAAGAATCAGAGGGGTTAAAAATATAACTTAGTCTTTAATATATATTTCAAATATTTGGTTATTTACTTGGACACCTATTATACTTTATTGAATTTGAAATACAGAAAATTGTGGCTAGGATTTTAGAAACGCATAAGGTAAAATAAAACTTTTGTCTTAAATACTAAAAATATTTAGACACCAATTTTATAAATTACTGATAATAATATGGATAGGCCATTTTATAATATTTACGAGTAGAAAACGAGATTTAGACTTGACAGAAACTAATTATAGTAAAATGTTATCAAAAACATTATTTTCATGAAGTTTTAAGGCCTGTATTGTTAAAATATGTAGAGTAGGCAATATCTGTTGATGGTCTATAAGTACATTCCAATCCGTTGCATTCTACATTTATCACTCCTATGACAGATTGTTTATAACAAATTTTGACTTACTAGATATTGTGGTAGACGGAGAGCTGGCGACGAATTATAAGAAGGTCCTTTTGGCAAGTTGAAATTGTGAAAAAAAAAAAAATTCGTCAATTGGCGAATCCAGTCCCGCGAGTCTGGGATAGCGGTAGCGGTTATTTCGTTTCGTTCGTCGTAGTTTCGTTCGATTCGTTCTGAGTCCTGATCCCAGTCTATCGCAATTCGTCAGGCCTAAGTAGGCACACTTAGGGTAATTCAGTCCTTACTCATACAAGAGTTTTAAGCTCTCTAATGTCTAATCCAATAAGTCTCGACCGTACTTTACCCTGGCTGCCATATACACCTTTGGTTTATTCGCTAATTGCTATATTTGGCTCACTCGGTATGGCACGACAGCATGTCACTCTTAGAGAAAAAAAAAATGTTAACCATATTTTATTGACATAATAAATATTATTATGTCAATAAATTATGAAAAATATACATACTTAAAAATTAATATTGATAATTTAATATCAATCTTCATTCTATTCACTCATATTTGTGACTTAAACAGAATAAAAAAAAAAACAAGTATTTTAAATCAATTATAATTTCTTTACGAAGGATAGTGAAATTAATTTTTTAAACCACTAATATGGTTTTCAAGCGATGATCCATCTTACAGTAAGCGGTCACCCTAGTCCTTGGACTATTTTCAACATTGTCATTTCAAACTTCTTTAATTCGCATTAAATAGAAATTCAGAAATTCAAAACCTGTTTATATTTCAATTATGTGAGTCACCGTGTGTATTTTTATACAAATATAACAAAATAGTCACAAATAATAAGTCCGTAAATGTACTTAAATTTAAAAAAGAGAATAATAAAAAAATCTTAATTACAGCCTTAGCATAAGTGCCATCACATATGAGTTATACTTTTTTCTTAATTAATACATTGATTCTGATGTAAAGCGAAATACTAATAATAACCTCTATTCATAGTCCTCCTTGCTATATGGGCAAATATTGAAACTTTTTCTTTTTTATCTGTAGCACAGATATAACAAACAACTTTGATTTCCCACCGTTTTCATTGACTTTGTGAGTACCATGAGTACTCACAAAGTCAATGAAGTAATAAGTCATTAAAGACAATACCTATTACTGTACTTTCCTACAGAACTGCTAACTGATTCCGCAGTGCATTTGTAGTTAGGGTGGCGTAATGACTCTTAAAGCGCAGATTTTCGACAGCCTAATGCAGCTGTTTAATTAGGCATATAGAAATTTTAATTTTCAACATATTATTATATATTTTTTTTTAAATTGTAAGTATGGACTTAATGGTTTAAAAGTCGCGCATTGAGAGTTCTGATAGCATGCATTGGTAATTACAAGATTTTAAATGTGTAGATACTTATGACTCAAGTTATAAGTCTCGGAAAATCAAAGGTAAAATGTATGTCTCTAGAAACAAATGTCTGTGATCCCCTTTATCATTAATTAATTTAACTTTATAAGACGGAACTTCCATTATTATCAGTATATCGATACAACAGAATCAGTCCTGGCTCTGGTAACCCCTTGAATATCTGGTTCTTATAAAAAAAGTTGATATACTAAAAAATATTTGAAGTACTGTTTAATAATATGAGAATAGACAAACTATATTATATTTGTGCGCCTGTAACAGACCATTTACTGTCTATATCACTGTACTATATTTTATTGTTAATAAGGTCAATCGTGACATATAAACCCATTTCAAATGAATCACATTTAAAAAACAATACACATCCTAAACTTTGTTACACTATTTCACCCCCTTAGGGCAATTAACCCCGATAGCGGTCACAAACGAGTCCTATATACGCTACAGATATATGTAAGTTACACAATATATAAAACTATTTCTTTTGATCTCATTTTCTTGACATTAGGTAAAAAAAACTTCTCAAATCGTGATCTCTCGTGAATTAAATTTAATTACCACTGTCTTTACTGTTAAAAGGACGTATATTGTCTGTCAGACAATTATTCAAAGCTAGATAGTCAGTCAATCACAAACAAATATAATAGGCATTATTCACTCTTAATATATCAAACCTGAGTATTCAAAGAGTTAACTTAGCCGTTGGTTATTCATATCACACACTGAGCTTTTCAGTTACTCCAAACTTTAAGTATAATCTAACGAAAACTAGGCAGGCCGTAAAAAACTTGAATGATAATAATGTCAAACTTATTAACAAATACAAAATAGAAATTCGTATAATAGGACAGGATTTACTTCTTGATGTTCATTTTGTTGAAACTGCTAGTGAGACCACGTCCTAAAAAAATTAAAAAAAAATCATTGGACAAATCACAAAACAAAAAATGTTAGAAACCCGAAAAAGGTATACTCGTAAACCACTTCACACGATAAATTCACCCTAATCTAACCCTATCCATTAATGTGTCGAAATTGATATTTTAAATATTCTGTATTATGCAGTCTATGATTCCCAACAATTAAAATTAATATCGTTAACAATTACAAAATAATATAAATGTATAAAAGAAAAAACTAAACCCACCTCTGCCAGCACCAACAGATAGAGCTGGGAAATTATCTTCTGTCAGCTCAGGAGCTGGACGGATGTCCCTCGAATCTGCAAATGAGTAATCATCTAGTATCGTAATATATTAACACGAGGCCTCCTAATAATGCTGCTATATTTGGTAGAAACATAAGAGGTCTGTGGTAGATTAATATTTTTTTTAGGTTAGTGGGGGAAGACGAGCAGACATTATGCAAAAAAAAGGCTTATTATATACAAATATAGTTTCTTTTCAATAATAACTAGAAACATCTTAAACACGGCCGTCTGATTCCACACTAGGCTGATATGTTTGTTGAAGTATGTTGGTAACTAGACTTATATATGTATATTTATGAAAAAATACATAATATTGCTAAATTATACCCAGAGTCAGTGCATATGATCGTCTTGCTCATCACCCAATATTTGTGCTGGGTGGGAATCGAGCCCACGAGATCTGGCTCAGTGGGCTATTCAAAAGTTAGTATGTACGTTTGTAAGTGTGATGTACATGTGTATTCATTGTACTCTTTACTATGTGTAAGGTAATTTATACTTATATACATTTAAGTTTGAAAAGTTTGTAACAAATAATATAAAGTGTTTTTACTTACAATCTGCTTGAGGCATTCTCATTGGAGCATAAGAACGCTTCTCCTGACGGGGTCCTGAGAACAACATTTTGTGTTTTATAATTGTGTGTAGCCTTGCGTTATTAATACAAATGACTGTACAGCGCCATCTAGTGTCGAGTAATGGAACATCTATTTCATTCATTTGACACATACTATCTTGGACACATTTATGTACCTACAAATTTCACAATTACAAATAACGTTTCTTTTAAGTTTTCTAAAATGTACCATATAGCTACAGCAATAAGGTACTTTGTTGATATGATGATCGTGGCTGTTTCCACACATTTCAAAATTGTGAATAGACTAGATCCGCAACTTACTCTCATTGGATGTGCTGGAGTGCGCCATGCTGGTCTCCAGGAACGATTCGTTTAGAGTAGAGTTGCAACTTGAGGTCGAAGGCTATTGGAATAAATACAAAGACCTATTTTAATACAAAAGTTATGTGTTCTTTAATAACGCAACAGACTGCACAAACAATCAAGGCAACTAATGCCTTTACGCAAGCCCTAAAACTGAAATGGCAATAGGTTAGTTAGGGCTTGCGTTTAATAAGAATCGAGTTTTTATAGACGTCGAGAACAGTATCTATCTATCTGTCTAAGTTAATACATTAACTACGGATAATAGAATAGAGGTTGGCAGATAAGTCATTTTGAAGGTGAGTGACTACCTTCTTTAATGGACACGCTCCCTCACTCTCTTCCCGAAACAGACAAAAAGAACACCCAGACTCAGGACCACAATTTGTGGATCACACAAAGTGATGTCCCATGTGGGGATCGAACCCACAACACTTAAAGCGGAAAGGTGACCGCTTAAACCACTACGCCATTAATGCAGTCGTGTAACTGCACTCAAACAAACAAACAAAAAACACTCACACTCCGGTCGGCTCATATGTGCCGAACCACGACAGAGACATGCGCCAAGACTGTCTTTAAACACTAAACAAATTGAGTACATATAGTATCCTTTTTTTTCGCCTACCTCCACTTAAAAAGAGCACTTGTGTTTTACGAACGTTCTGTGAAAGTTTAAGTTTTTAATTGTTTATTAAGATAACTATAGATGAAAACTGTGACTTAGTGTTCCTTACAAGCTAAAGTAGTGGTGAAAGTGTTATTCTGTAAAACTTTACACTAAATAAACAAAAAATTTAACCTTAGTGCTACGACCATAAAAAATTGCAACAAAAATGCCTGTTTGCCTCAAATGTGATAAAGAAGTGCCTAAAATTGATGATAAAAACCCTAAAATTCAATGCCACGGTTGCAAGAGGCAAATATGTGTGAAATGTAGTGGATTGCTAGCCACAGAGTTGAGAGTGATTGTACTTCAATCTCCGACTTTGAAGTACTTGTGCCCTGACTGTGAACTCGGAGTGCGCCAGTTGCCGGCCTTGAGAAACACAGTCTCTCAATTAAAAAATGAAATCGAAGCGTTAAAAGCCAAAGAAAGCCAAACGACATGTATGGAGAATATTCTAGGAGAATTGGCGGAGAGAAAAAAACGAAGTGCGAATATTATACTATTCGGGATTGATGAGTGTCAGCTACAAACAGGTGACTCTGAGCGGGACAAAGAGGTACGTATTGATTACGATAAGGAGCAGATTCAACAAGCCTTGGCAAATGTCCCGGATTCGGAGCCTCCGGTCGCCGTATTTCGTCTCGGTAAACGAAAACAGTCTTCGCCGCGCCCAATCAAGGTCATATTTTCCAATAAAAAGCCAGCTGTGAATGTGTTAAAAAACCGTACAAAACTTCCATCCAAGGTATCAGCCAAGAATGATTTAACACCCTATCAGCGTGAATATTTACAAAAACTACGGGCAGAGCTAAAAGAAAGACTCGACAATGGTGAAACAGACCTAACCATAAAATATATACATGGTACCCCTAAAAGAAGATGGAATAACCCCGCATAAGAATGGAATTTGAGAAAGGAATTGTAAAGTCCGGACCGAAATCATTCTATTCTTATATGCGCCAGCAACTATCTTCAACGGTATGTGTGCCACCATCATTGAAGGATGCAAGAGGGAATATTACCAGTGATCCAAAAACAGTTGCAGACTTGTTCGCCCTACAATTTGAAACATCCTTTGTTGTGGAGCCAGCTTATTTGCATGTCCCAAGCTTAAAGATTCCTCGAGTTGAAAATTCTATTCGGTCACTCATATTCACATCAGACAAAGTGAGTAAGGCCTTAAAAACATTTAGTGATTCTACTTCGATGGGACCGGATGCTCTACCTTCAATTTTATTGAAACAATGCAGTGATGTTCTTAGTTCCCAGCTGGCACACATTATGAACCTATCAATGCAAAATGGGAAACCACCTCAAGAGTGGAAAGTAGCCCATGTTACCCCAATTTATAAAAAGGGTGATAAACACCTGGCCGCTAATTATCGGCCAATCAGCCTCACGAGCGTTGTCTGTAGAACGATGGAGAAAATTATAGTTAGTGAACTTAGAACTTTCATTAATAGGGAAAACATCATTATCGATGAACAGCATGGTTTTGTTCCTAAAAGGTCTACAGTCTCGAATCTCCTTGTGAACTTGGACAAATGGACAAACCACTGGGACAACCATCAGCCCATCGATGTTATTTACTTGGATTATGAAAAAGCCTTTGATCGGGTACCTATTAGAAGGCTTACAACCAAACTTGAACACCTTGGAATTCGTGGGCAACTCTTGAAATGGATAGAGGATTTCCTAAGCAACAGAAAATTCAAAGTAAGAGTAGGTGAAACACTATCAGACACTCATAAGGTACACAGTGGTGTGCCTCAAGGCTCAGTGCTTGGACCGATCCTGTTTGTGCTCTTTATAACGGATTTGAAAAATGTCGTTCACTCTAACTTGTCAGTATTCGCAGACGATACCAAAATTATGGGAAACCCCCTAATTTCTCACAATATAATTCAGCAAGACCTGGACCGTATTATGGAGTGGACAAGAGAATGGATGATTTCACTCAATGAGACTAAGTGCACTGTACTACATATCGGTAATAATAACCCTAAATACAAGTACACAATGGATTCTGTGCCATTGAAAGTAGTAAACTCACAAAGGGACCTTGGAGTTATCATAACACATAACCTTAAATGGGATGAACACATCACAATGATAACAAAAAGGGCGAATTCATTGCTGTACATGATAAGAAAGGCATTCTATGTTATTACCAAGGAGCTGTTTCTTAACATCTACTTAACATACATAAGACCTCTGCTAGAATTCGCCTTCCAAATATGGAATCCATATTTCAAAAAGGACATTGAGATGTTGGAAAGGGTACAAAGAAGGGCAACCAAAATGGTTTTCTCTTTAAAAAACGTATCATATGAAGAACGCCTCTTGGAACTCAAATTGCCAACACTGGAACAGAGGAGAATGAGAGGAGACCTCATAGAAACCTACAAAATACTCAACCACCATTACAACGTGAGAGATATTGAATCTATGTTCACAATGAACCCGAACAAGCAGCTAAGGGGTCATTCTATGAAGCTCAGCAAGCACCTGTGTACTAGTAATCCAAGAAAACATTTTTTGCCTAACCGAGTAGTGCATATGTGGAACTCTTTGCCGGAAACTGTGATAGGTGCCCAGAGTATTAACATTTTTAAAAATAGACTTGATAAACATTTAAATGCACAAGTGTAATGATATACACGCATCAGCCTTAAGCTGCTAGTGTATTAAATATAATAATAATAATAATAATAATATCATGTTGGCCTCTTATTTACTAATATTATAAAGCTGAAAAGTTTGTTTGGTTGGAGGATCTCGGGAAGTACAAATTCACATAAAAAAAATATTTTAGTATTGTACAGCCTATTTTTCGAGGGAGGCTATAGGTTCTATAACATCACGCTACGACTAATAGGACTAGAGGGGCAGACGAACATACATTCATGAATGTCTTACCATAACTCCGGCGACGGTTGGCGCGGCCCTCACTTTCTTTTTATCTTTGTATGACAGGATACCCTAGAATATAAAGGGGTTTGGTTAGTAATATTAAATTAAATTACCTAAATAATTTAGTAATACGGGCGCTATAGTTAAACCGCCGTAAGCTTGGCCCTCCTGATGGTTTGGGGGGCGCGGGGCGGGGGTGCATTCAACCAATTAGCTAGTGCGTCGCTGTCCGCCGGCAGTGACTGACGTGAAAGCATGGCTGTACGTGTTATTTTTCTTAAGACTGCTACACACGGTATTATTTTGCAACATGGATAATCTGCCGACTCTGCGTCACAAAAAGATTTAAACTTGAAGTTCGGCTTACAGAGGTTCTACTGTTAAAGTTCTAATAAATTATATTTATTAATTTACTTAATTTTTAAAATTGTATCTGAATATAATTTATATGATGAAGATAAGGTGATTTTATTAAAATTATTTTACAGTATTAAATTTTACAATTAATCATAAAAAATTACAATACATTGACATTATAATACATGGAAATAAATTCGATTTTTATTACATCGTGTGTAGATTAAATCTCAAACAAATAAATCTGAAGATATCGAGTTAGTACATCGTGTCATGTATAGCCGAGCGCATCACCCGCCCCGCGTCCCGCAAACCATCAGGTGGGCCAAGCTTACGGCGGTTTAACTATAGTTGAGGGTCCTGTGGGTGTAGTGGTTAGTGACCCTGACTGCTAAGTCGGAGGTCTTTACGATTCCCACCTAGGACAAACATTGTGTGAGGAGCAGGATCATTTGTTCTGTGTCTTGGTGTAATATTTCTAAAGTATATATGTATTTAGGAATATGTATAGCAGTAGTCTGTTTCAGCCCACATCGTGATGAATAAACTATATGATTCATCCCTTATTTTCTTGAAATGTGAATGGAAGTATACCCTTCCATGGTCTCTTTAATTGTCCACTAGGTCAGAGATGTCAATTAACCGAGCTAGTTCTAGGAAGTCAAATAACTTGCGCTATTAAAATGAAATGTATACAACCGAAACGTCAAATATTGTTTTATTGGTAACGTTTATGTTGTAACCCTTACTTCTAACTTAACGAACTTATGTATTAAAGTTACTAATATCAAGATAATTAAACCACTACAACAAAAAAGTTAATTTCACTACCTACAGTGACTGCTAAAGTAAACCGGGATCCTGACTAAAGTGAATGAGACTTTTTGATTTAAAAAGACTAAAAATTCTTCTTCTTCTCTTTCTTTAAAAAGACAACTCCCGCATTAGAAATATATCCTGTGTCGCGGGGGACTTTACAAACATATATGAAACGGACACAAAGAACACCCAGACTTGACTTGACAGACCCAGCGTAGTAGTCAGCGGCGTGGCGACCGCTTAACCACTACGCCTTCTGTGCATTGCTGAAGACACAATAAGAAAGAGTTTGAAATAATTGCTCAATACTGGTTTTCTGTGTGTTTTCTGTTAGTAGTTAGTAGGCTTTCATATAGGTCTTTTTTTAAATTATTTCCATGTAGTTTCATAACATTATCCAGCAAGTATTATACGAATCTGCTTAAAACCAGCGTATACTCACATCAATATTGTAATCCAGCGGCACATGGAGTCCAGCTTTGATTTCAACGCCCATTATTGGGCAGCAGCTGTCCAGAACCGTGTAAGCCCAACGTTTCGTACGCGACGTGGTACATTCTACCGACTTGTCGATAGATTCGTGGCGCTGAAATATAAAAACTCACTGAAGAAGCAGTTTTAATACCGTACACGCTTCTGTTAGATTCTTGTCTTATAATCTCCTGATTATAAATGATCACAATTATAATCTGGTGTGGGTAAGTGATCTTGATTACTTGTTTTTCTGTCTGAGCTTCGATTTCCGTTTAATGCAAATATTTATGTGCATGGATATTTTATTTGCATTGTTTTCTATGTTTCTATTTACATATATCACATATGTGACTAAACATACCTATATCATACATATGTGAGAAAAATTAAGTAATAAATTAGGTTTTACCCTTACTGTTTGAATGTATTTTTAAATACATATAAACACCCAGACTGAGACAAATATAAATATCCCTGCACACAAATATATTCTACCCCGCTACCCCAGGCGTTAAAGTGGAATGCACAACTGCAGCGTTTGTATGTAGTGTGAATGTCGAAAATATAAGTTAAGAAAGAAGATAGATTATTCTAAGATTTGATTTGGAATATAGGGAGGGGGTGAGGAGAATGAACAGAAGGGTCACCTACTGGCGACTGCCGCCGCCCATAAACGCCTGCAACTCAGAATTCACAAGCGCATTACCAGCCTTTAGATTTACTGATAAAAGTATCAAAATATTACTTACTTGACATCCAAGTCGAGGAGTATACTTGAACATATCTTTATTAAGTTGGGACAAAGCCAGTGTAGCGTATGGGAAACCTTCATTCTTATTTTTCTTAATAGCGTTGATCAGCGTAAAGAACATTGTGTCTAGACGGTACACTCGGAAGATGGTCTCGTCTTCCCCTAAAAAAAGTTAATTAATAGTTACAGCATAATCTATACAAATATAATAAAAATGGTATCTTGACACACCTCACACACGGCCTTCTGAGGGTCTTGTGTGAATCGTCACTACACTCTTCACAAATCGCAACGGCGAACGTGCTCGCCGTCGAAAGCGAGTTGAAGTGAAATAAACTCACACTACTTCCTCTGATCCCAAATTAAGCGGAGAGGATGTTAAGGTAACCAGACTGCCGATAAACATACTGAAATATTTATAAATACATACATATTATAAATAAATCACTCTCAGACACAGAACTGATTATGCTCATCACACAATATTTGTCAAACATTGTTATGGGTGGGAAACGAACTCACGGCCTCTGGCTTGGCAGTCAACAGGCCAGCCAAAAAATATTAATATGTGAAAATATATTTTTTAATGTGCAAACGGAGATAGTTGGCAATCGAAAATTAATTTATGTAGCTATATTACAATTATCCTTAGTTTAATGAAGATTTTAACCGAGATCAAAAAGCATTAATAAAACATCAAATTAAAATATAGACCATATTTAACATTACCCTCATTATAATAAAGTTTATGTATTTTTCGTCTACGACAGTTATATAATTTCCTGTCAGTGGAGTGTGGAAAAGCTATAAAAGGGCTGCGAACATACCACGTCCAATTTGATAACTTAACTAAAGTAACTAAAAGATACTGCACAATAAAAGGCTAAGAAGATAAGTATCCTTATAGTTTATTTTTTACCCAAAAGCGACGGCGTGTTATACCGTGTCTGAGTGTTTATGTGTGTCCGTCACCGGAACGTAGCTCCCGAACAGATGAACCGATTTTTTTTTTTGTTTAAAAGGTGAATTAGTCTGGACTGTTCTGTAGCTATGTTTGATGAAAATCGGTCCAAGATGGTCGCAGCCATATTTTTTCACAACTCAATATCTAATCCAAGATGTGTGTAGGGAGTTTTTTAAATTTTTAATTTAATGTTTATAAATTTTTTTAAATATATTACACAGAAGTATGTTGATCATCGACAAAAAAATCTATTGGGCTTCACTTGGGATGGCGTAGTGGGTTAGGCGGTCACCTCGCCGCTTCCTACCGCGCTGAGTGTTGTGGGATTGATCCCCAGACGGAACAACACTTTGTGTGATCTACAAATTATTGTTCTGAGACTGGGTGTTCTTTTTGTCCGTTCATGAATGTTTATAATTCCTAGTGCGAATCTCGTCTTTAAAAAAAACATCTAGCGTGGCGCAGGCTATACTTACCAGTTTCTTGACACATTTGCTGGATGAAATTGACGATGGGAGCAACTTTGTCTGGCATTGTGTACAATGGAGGTAACGTGTTCGACGCCTGCTCTGATTGCCTCAGGTAGTCTATGATGTTAGCCAAAATTTGCATGAAGTTGCTGCGAGGGGCTGACTCGTCAGGCATTTCCAGGCCGTGTTCTTGAGAGCCCAGTTTCACATCGGAGGCATACCCGAACGGGATGCGGCCTAGTTGAGGAAGGATAAGTACATATACTCATGGTTGTATCGTCGAATTCAGAAAATCGTTTTAAACGTGATTATACTATACCACACTTGTAAGTATTAAACAAGATAGTAATTATTTAAAAAAGTTTTACATCTATACAAGTAAAAAAAAAAGTGTCTGTAATGTCAAAATACCTAATAGGTCTTTTCATGCTTACACGGTTATTTGCAAGTTTAATCTTCAAAATGGCTGGACCGATTTTGATAATATTTTACTACCAGGTATAATATATAAGAAGTAGTTAAGGCTATTAAAAGCCCTATACAATTTTCACCGGTCCAGGAATCGCGTACCGTACCAACTAGTCTCTTAGTGAGACCATTATATTATAAATCTGAAGAACGCTAATCTCTGGAACTATTAGCTACAATTGAAAAATTATTTTAGTGTTGGATTAACCATTTATCAAGGAGGCTAAATAATCACACTACGACCTGTTGATCATAGAGCAAGTCGAGCATTCATGAAAAATGTTGCGAAAACGACAAAAAAATATTTTAATTTTCAGCGAGTGTTTATGCGTGCACCGACTCCATTCGACTGTAAATATACCTCTTTAAAATGACATCAGAACTTAGGAGTTGGTGATATAGTTCGAGGGTAAAAGTCGCTGTTAGCTGCTTCGGTAATTAAAGGTATAAACAAAGAATTCAAATATAGATCGTAATTCATGTCTTATAGGTACAATTCTTTACGTCGTCTTCTGGCGATAGCTATTAACATAGATATTTTAAAAAAGTTCCACCATTGCTCTCGGGGCTCTTGCCCCTGACTACTTCTTCCAACTACTTCCAGGTTTCTGAATCTTCAGAGCATTAATCCAACGAGATCCAACAAGTCCACTTAAAGAGAATAACATACCCGGATTAATATTCACGTGATAGAAGTCGCGAAAGCCGTTTCTCAGGTTGAACCGCAGCACGGTGCTCTCGCCGATTACATATGCACTGTCAGTCTTGCAGTAATAGTTTACATCCATTACATAAAAGTATTCATCAAGGATATCTGTTGGGAAATACCATTTTTTTAGAACCACATTGTCAAATTATGTCAGCCAATTGTGATCGACAGTCTCACCACTCCTAGTTATGCCATGGGTGTCGTTACAGCGATCAAGATTAAACTTGAAACAAATCATATACCAAATCGGCTTGCCAGTGTGGTATGGTAGGCCAAAACCTCCTTTAAGGAGAGGCCTATGGCCTGCAGTGGACTATTAAAGGCCGTATTTGTTGATTATCATTTTCGTTACCAATTTTCTTCCTTTTAATAATCATACAGCACTTAAACTAGTAGTAATTGCAGAGATTATTATAAAATATTTTTAGTATGTCATCTGACAATGTATAAAAATGATTCTAGTCATGACACTGAAGCACAGTGTATAGTGCAATATTTGAGTAGTTAAACAATGTTACATAATTTATTTACTATATTCCACCTTATTACAAAGTCATAAGAGTTGTTATTATTTGCCTGGATAAGATCTAAGTTCTGTCTGTTCTCCAAATTTGAATGTAACCTAAAGCAAAATGTATGTACCTATCTCAAAATATTGATATCAAACCTATTCTACAAAACTACAATGAGTTATTTAGTTTATGCTAGTGGGTACAAATATAAGAATACAGAGAATTTGAACCTGATACTAAAATACATTGTAGCTTACATGCTGATGCAGAATTTTTATACAACATGAGGTGTCATATAACATTTAATTTAGCTATTCAGATAAAGAGAAGTTAAACTTGAAACAAAACCTATACCCACCCATCTGGCCAGCATGGTAAAGTACGCCAAGACCTTTCTACAGTAGGCCTATGTACAGCAGTAGAATATTAAAAGCTGTTGATTATGATAATTATACTTCAGATAACCACACACACTATTTGCACACCTATCATTTTTGGAAAAAAAAACACACAACTCAAAGATGTAGAGGCAATTATGTAATATTGTAAACAAATTAATCCCAGTTACATAATATCGGGAGAGGCCAGCCACAAACCGGGTAGGTATTTTATAAGAATTACTTGTAATTTTGGGTAAGAGTGGTCTATGATTTAACAAACATAGAGGGTATAACAATATAAATGTCAATAAACTATTACTTATATCTATAATAATAATATTAGTTACTTTATCAACCTTTACTAGTCCACTGCTGGACATAGGCCTCTCCTCAGAAAGGAGGTTTTGGCCTACTATACCACACTGGCCATAGGGCCATATAGGGATTTTTTCAAGTTTTCCTTCTCTTTGCAGTGCTGTTGTCCTGCGTAGTTTACTCCCTTAGTCATCTCCTACGACCCCCACGCGATGAATAGGGGTGGTAACACTCCATATTCTTATTCCGTCACCACACAAACAATTAGTTACTTAATTAAAATATATTCAGATTATTCTTAACCAATTTTTGCATGCCAATGTTATATTTTATGAAGGTAAGGCTATTTTACTATTTTTATAAATTGTATATCATTTCATAAATAATTCTGTATTTTAAGTGGGAGGGAAGGAGTGGGGGGAGGCGCGTAATTAAGCTGGCGTTGGTAGGTCCCAAGAGACATATATTGACCAGATTGGCAGCATACTGAAGAAGAACTGTAAGAAGGATTGTCGCAGCTTCAACAGCAAACCGACAATTTCATGCATGGGTGAAAATCAAACCGATGACTAATAAATATTAGTAACAATAGGGCACTCTTGAGTTGCAGTAGTTCTTCCAGTCTGCTGATTTGTGTCCTATATTATAAATAAAAATTGTTCAAGACACATACCTTCTTTATTAAAAGCTTTCAGTTTAATCATATTACGAATATCTCTTTCTTCATATTCCCTTGCTTCTTGCAGCTCCCGCTGCTGTTGTTCAACAGCTGATAGCGGGATCCCAGTGCTAGTGTACTTTTCCTCAGGACCGTTGCGATCTTGTCTCTTTTTCTTTGCTATGTTTTCGTATTTTGCTCTTACGCTTGTACTAGCATTCTGTTGGGTATTATACAAAAATATTACACTTTTTAATATTTCAGGTAAATAAACAACAGCTGTCTAAAACATTAAGATTCTAATTTAACAGAAAATAATTATGCTCTTGTAGTATTTTTATGTTTTAAATATCTCATCATTATTCTATAGCTTTATTATTAAATTGTTTTTCAATTTTATAAAAAGACAATGAATGAATAATGATTCTACACTTTCAACCAAACGAATTGGTTCCTATTGGAAATAATTTTTAATTACATCTACCTGACCACTTTTGCAAAGTTTAAGTATGCTGAATATTATATTTACCCTCCATTCAGGATCTGCGGCTTTTGAAACCTCGGCTAAATTCTCATAATGAATTCCTTTCTTCTGTTGCTCTTCCTTAAAATCGAGCATAAAGTAATAGAATGCATTCTTCGGCGCTTTTTTCGGCATTTTGGGCTCCTTTTATGTCCACACTACTAAACTGTTAAAAAAAAAATTACGTATGGTAATGATTTCTTTCAGCACAATAAACTTTAACTTTATTAGATACACTCCAATAAATCAGATTCTAATTTTAATGTTTCCCCCGTGTAGTTGACAAGTAAACGATAGGTGCTCAAGCCGCAAACTCCATAAAAGTATTAAAACATTGAAAACACTTACCTACTCGACTCTCGTTCGATACCATCAGTATATGCATAGACAAAACACTATAAATCTAAGAAGTATATGTATACCATTTAAGTATATAACAATGTACTCTGTGTATACCATCAATCAATATGCAACTGGGGTTAAGGATGTAACAAACGTTATGGAAAATTAATCGATTTTCACACCTTGCAATTGGTAGCAAATTATTTTCATAACCTCTTAACTAACTAAATGCAGTATCGATACTTTTCGTATGTATCAAAACTTTATAACCAAAGAGGTTGAAGGAACGTGCCTTAAAATAGTTGGAAGCAGAATCAGAAAACAAATTAACTATTGGCAGTTTTGAAAATCTTGAACCCAAAAAGTATCTCGATACTTGAACGCGGGTTATTTCATTTACCTCTACGAAAACCAAAAATACTTTGCTACCACTCAGGCACAACAACCGAATAATTCAAGTGTACGAGGGGAAGAAATATGAGCTTTAGACCCATCCCTTCATAAAATATACCCATTAGAATTATTCTGTCAACGGCAACAATGTCAACTTAAAATCAAATTCCATTCATGTAGGGAACGATTTGAAAACTAAATATTGTGTTACAGTTTGTGTAATATTTATAGGCAGCGGTTGCCCCCGGCTTCTCTCGTCTTTCTAACTTTGACAATAATTAACTTTTATACAACGGTTCATCGATTTTTTCTCTCCTTAGAGGTAAAATTCCAAAACTCCTTTCTTAGTGAAAAGAAGTAACACTAAGAAAGGATTTTTGAAGAAGGACACGAAAAGCAACATCTGCCAAAATTGGTCAAGTAATTTTATAAGGTATAACTAATGACCATGACTGGAAGGTTCATTAGTTTATCCAAGTTTAACTTAGGCTTTGAAAATTAGACGTATAATGATTGAAAATGGTATCGATATATTCTCTCGAAGCTTTGCGTGGCATTGATATATTTCATACAAGTTTAGTATTAACTAAAATAGTACGAGTGTGTTGATATTTTCGTTACAATATTATCAAACTACAATTCAATATTTCGTTGCAATAAATGTTTAAGTATTAGAGTACTATCTTCCTTTACTCTTAGATGTACAGACTGCAGACATTAGTTCGGTTCGGATTACTAGTTGAACTAACTGTCTGGATAACGAGCTTCAAGTCTTAAAAATTAAAAAGTAGTAATTTTTTATTTATGTTTATGATAGAGATAGATAGATATTCTTCTTGAATTCGAAAGTCTTGATACACATATTCATAAATCAATCAAACAATTGCAAACATTTATATAGGACAACATATTTAACACTTTAGGTAATGTTTTTTCCGTAAAAATAATGAACAATGCATAAAAAGAAATCTGCGTTTAGTTATTCCTTCTTGAACTTTACCGCTTTTTGACATGCAGTTGCCACTAGTTTGACAGAAAGCTACACTTTTTTTTATTATCAGTCTGTGTGACGGAGAGGTGATACTTGGTCATAGTGTACAGTTATTGTGAATTTTAAAATTATTCAATTATCGTAATATAATAGCATTTTACAAAAAATAAAAGTGTTATATGTTCTTGTGTGATCGCTGTTTAAAGTTGGAATAAAATTGTTGTATCATTGACACAGGTATGTATTTATATTCAGAATTTGGTGATTGAAATGTTTTTTGGGATTTAATTTGTTCTTGTTTATGGGGCTGTAAGGAAACGATTGTATATATTACGTTATAAATGGGATGTGTCGTGGCCAGGCTGTTCGAGGTATAGAGATTCGATTTAAATCACCAATATCCGTCGAGCTATCAACTAGATGCGATGCGCGCTCAACTAAAGCTAGTTCGTTGATAGAGTAATATGTATTTGAGGTGGTTAGTAGTTTGTTATGAGCTCTATTAGCCGTTATATGATGCACTCACACTGGCGTCATATTAAGTGAAATATCGTATGAGTCAAATGCTAATAGAGCTTATCATATTATTAGTTAGTCTTAGTACCATTAATTTCGTAAACATTAGATTTTATGCGCCCCAGGTCTCATTTCTTTCATAAATTTCTATTTCTTTCACTACTAATATTAGATAATAACTCCTTATAATAATGTCCCATTTAAACATATGTTTAAATAAAACATGGATTTATGTACAAGATTTAAGAGTTTTTTTTTAGAAATAAAACAACTGTTGTAAATGTGTGTTTACACAATTTTTTATTAATATGCCATCTATCTCCAGAAGTGGACTGTTAAAAGTTGTTGATCTGATGTGATGATGCTTTCTATCTTAGCAAATGTATGTTGCTTATGCTTATATAGAAATATTGAATAAGCATAATAAATAAAAATAATTATTTTAAATTTTTGAATAGGCCAAGTGAAGTTTCTTGTTTCAATATTTAATTTAATATTAAATATCAAAATAAATGCAAATTATAAAATTTATTAATTAATTAAACTTTAGAAGTATTTTTAAAAGTAATTTCAATATTGGTATTAGTATATTAGGCTGTTCAAAAATAATTTAATTATCTCTGCTTTGCCCCCAACAAATCTGACTTTCAAGTCTAATTATTAATAATATTTTTGGACATCCAACACACAACAGCATCTAGTTTCAAACTAAGTGGAGCTTGTACTATGAAAGCTAGGTTGACTGATAGAATACTCATAAATAATGTTTTTTTGTAAATACATACATATTATACATAGAAAACACCCAAACTCCAAAACAAATATTTGCAGAAGTTGCATACTCTACCATTGCACCACCGAGGCAGTAAAATTTCTTAAATTCTCTATTTTGCCTTTTATAAAGAATGTTGCCCATTAAATGCTTTTTCTTACCTTATTTTCCTATTGCCATTTATCATATACCCACTTTTCCCATCTCTAATTCGCAAATTGCCCAGTTGACATAAACAGGTTTGCCATCTATTATGGTAGTGTGCAAAATTATAATAATATTATGTAAGTGCTTCCACATTAACATCCCTTTAAGTGTGCATGTGTGTGTATGTATGAGTGTATATGTACAATAGCATTGTAATAGTTTAATTGACTCTTACATAATTGTCTTCATGTGTAAGCATCTCATGATATGAATATTTGTGTGAATTTCTTAAAGTTGCATTGTGTTTGAGAGAATGTTTACTAACAACATGTTCTTAATGTCATTTAAAAAATGTTTCGTTTTTATAACAGTGTTGCCATTCTTGTGCTCTTTACTTTACAGGCACTTTTTAATTGCCATTAGGAAACAGAAAATAAATGTCACGATTGTCATCAATTATTTCTTCCATTTGTATGAAGTATCACATCAATTCCCTGTGCAGCACCTCATTTCTAATATCAAATTATTCTTAGCACTTCACTATTAAATTTAAAATGACTTAAAATTACTGACCAAAGTACTAGAGAAAATAGTAGATAGACGGTCATATAATTCTTTTTAATTTATGTAAGTACTCTGGGTATATGATATTCTATATATTCTATATTTTAAAAAGTACATTTTTTATTTCTGTGCATCCACCAAACTTTTTTTTTGCTCTGCATTGTCCTAAGGTCGACTGCTAGAAAATGCCTATGGCGTTAAGTCTACCTTTGCCACATATGTGCATAAAGATTAAAAAAGTAAAAAGAACAAAATGCTGTTTTTGCTGTTAATAAATAAGGTGTACTGAACATTATAGGAGGAGGAACATAGTTTGAATTACATAACTGACCTCAAAACCATCTCCTTATACCTATATCCCTTAAAGGGTTAGACTGTATATTTATTTATTTATTAATAAGTATTACCACATCATACATATTATACTTATAACTAATTTTGACAATATGTGGCATTATACCTGATATGTATGACAATTATGGTATACTGTAATGTAGTAGTGTAAAAATAACAATCAAAACAAAAAAACCCAAAGAGAAGAATACTTAATAATAATAAACTATTTGAATTAATAGTACTCTAAATCTATTTTATATCTAATTAACATTTGTTTGGGGTTGTTAATGGATACAAAACATTTTTTATTTTAGTGTTAAACTCTTTAAACAATTGGCTAAAGATGTCAATGTCTGGATCACCAGTTTTGATACTATTATATTGCTCAAGGACTCTAATTATGGGAGAATATTGGCCTAAATGAGTTCTTGACAATTGTGAGTGGCACATTTTAGTTATTTTATGTCTGGAATAAGAGTAAAGAATATTCAAAGAAATTTTTTCTAATAGATAATCGTACTGTGTATTATTATTATTTAACCTCCACTCGATAGATGGCGTTGGTTATCTGTGGTTACCAAGGCAGGTAAATATACTTAGCAATCTAAAATATTTTTGTCGGCATTTGGAGTTCTAAATTTGATTCGTTGATATTCACTCGAATTTATAAAGTTCAACTGCATTTGGTTGTTTTAATAACAAAGCGCCGGTATTCCGATTAAATACGTGTCCACGCAGCGTGGCTCTTTTATAGTTAAATTGTGGCGTAAATGTGTAAAATGTTGTCCCCTTAATTATCTGATCAATAAATCTTAATGTGATGAGAATGTATTGATACAATACATACATAGATACACCTCAAAACGTGTCAACACGGCTTCTTTTATGTATCGGACAAGTATATCCTTGTACGAATTAATAATACAGAATGTCACCACCGCTATTCCTCCTATGGGTGTCGTAGGACCCTACTAAGGGACAAACTATGCAGGACAACAGCACCGCAAGGAGAATGAAGACTACAAACATACCTGTCTGGCCAGCATGGTATAGTAGGCCAAAACCTCCTTTCTA